ATGAAATCGCTTGTTCTAATTCTAGAAATACGGTGCCGGAAAAACAGAAATTGAGTGAAGATCGCGAGTTTCCTGCAGTGGCAAGGCGCCGGAATCAGTCCTGGAGTTCCTCCGATTTCCACGAATACCTAGTTTACAAGGCCGAATCACCCGGCGAAATACTCGGAAGAATTGGAGCCGACGCTTCAACTCAAACAGAGGACAGACGACGCCGGCGAGGAGGAATGCGAATCGTTGAAGAAGAAGAAGAGTTGAGTGAAAACCGGATTATTGAATCTGACTGTAAAGAACCGGACGAGGTTGAACATAGTCCGAACCAGTCAACGGAGCTGAACAGAGGTGAAATTTCACCACCACTATCCGATTCAAGCTCTGAAACGCTAGAAACGTTGATGAAGGCGGACGGAAAATTAATCCTACGGCCAGATACAATCAGCGAAGATCCAACGGCTAATACTCATTCAAGCGGAAAGAGCAAAGCAGCTTCCGTTTTGATGCAATTACTCTATTGCGGTTCAATGTCCTTCAAGCAATGCGGACCCGGTTATGGGAAGGAAAATGGATTTTCCTTGATTTCACAGTATAAAAACCGTCTGTCCCATGGCAGGTGTACCAATCAAGCGGTGAAGGATGTAGAGAGTCCAATTGTGGAATATCACGGAAGTGAAGAGAGAATTAAGCTGGAAGATAAGGAATACTTCAGTGGGAGTTTAATAGAGATGAAGAAGAAGGAGAAATTTCCAGCTCTAAAGAGGTCTTCTTCATACAACGTAGAACGGTGAGTACTTTTACTGGTGAATTTTTTACTCTATAGCTTAAATTGTTGTGATGTTTTGTATCTAGTCAAACATTAAGCTAACATACCTTTAAACAGTTTAGTGTAAGTGTAACAAGGATATTAGATTTGGATTGTATTTGTGGAGTAACGTCAACATTCCGCCTATGGTAAGGCCTAGGTGACTGGCGGGGGATGATTCAAGTTGGAGTTATGATGAATATACCATTTGTTTGATGGACTTGCTTAAAAACTACTTCGCGTCACCTTTGCCAATAGAGGCGGAACTAGGGTACAGTCGTTAAAAAAATAAACTATTTTTTTTACAGTCAAATTATTTTTATGTAGATATACATAGTGGATGTTGACCCGTAGACTTTTTTTATGGTGCTTATTCCATTTTATTTTGAATCTCATCAGTTAAAATCCTGACTATGACACTTCTTGCCAATGGCAAGGTTCATGCAATGGGCGAGTTGCAAATGGTTCGGGTTATAGGACTAGAAAACAGGGACATAAGTAGAAAAACTTATCTTGGTATTGATTATTGCTTTATAAGGAGTGGTAGGTGTATGAAGGTTCCTTGTCTTGGTAAATTAATCTGCAATCTGCAGTATAATTGACGTGAGGATCCAACTGTTCAATTGTTTTTCTTACAGAAAATGATAGGTTCTTGCAGTACTTTCTGGGACCATTGAGTACTTACTCTCCTCTACGTAAGCAAAACTAGAGCTTTTTATCAGTTTATTCACCACAACACGTCAATTAATTTACTCAATAGCTGGAAGGAGAGATAATATTTTCACCAATTTATTAGACTTCCCCTTCAATCAATCCTTAATATAAATATGACGTCCTGCTTTCATGATTGAAATCTACCAATCCTACAATACCAAGGTATCTTAAACTTTACAGAGTAGTTTTGCTTTCATATAAATGTGGGGTTCCATAATTGACAGGTTTTCATCCGTTATGACAGTATAATTGATATTTGAATATTCTTGATTCATTTTCTTTATTTGATAACGGTCTGTAGGAGTACAAAATTGGAGCTGACTGAGAAGCAAGAAGAAGGGAAAACAAAATGTTATCTGCGAAAGCAAAAGAACCAATCGACCCGAGAAGAAGGAGACAGTGACTTGTCTAATGCCCTGCAGTAGCATTTGCTATTATTTCTAGTATTACTAGCTAGTTATCAAAATGGTAGCAAGATGTTATCAAAATGGTAGCAAGATGAGTAGATGATAGTGGTTAAGCAGTAGATTAGGGAAATGGTAGGAAAAATTGTGGAAACAATTGCTCCTGATCATGATCTCAGTTGTAGTTATTGTTTGTGTGGATTTCGACAGTAAAAATAACTAAATTATCTGTATCAAGTGTTTGCATCAAAGAAATGATATGCGAGTGCGACATACTATTGAGCCATGATTAATATGTTTGTTGCACCAAATCAAGAGGAAATCTGGGAACAATGAGTTCGAAACATGGAAGTTGGAAGCAGTCAATAACCCTTGAGTTGGAAACCAAAATAAGCCACAAAAATTTAAACGTTTTCTGTTAGTTTCATAACGTTTATTTTTAATATATAATGGAACTTTTTCTTACACTTTCTAAAGTGGAATTTTTTCTTCCACTTTATAAAGTGGAACTTTTTATTCCATATTATAAAGTGAAACTTTTTATTACACTTTATAAGAAACATATTTTTCACGTCTTGAATAAGCTTTTTCAGTGTTGTCATATAAATTATATTGATTTGATATGTCATTAAAACGGAATAAAATATTTCATTATGTATTTTAATTATTTTATTCTGAAAAATCTATTTAAGGACATTTATACATAGTCGATAGCACCTACAACATAAAGTCTTCTATATTTGTTCAATTCCATCTAAAAAAAATATCTTCACAAACACAATGCTAAATATCCAATAAATGTCCGATATCATAAATTTATTTCATCAATTTATAAATGAATGGGTATAAACCGTACGATTATAATTTGATTATAGCCGAAAAATACCTACTTCATTTTTATCACATGGACAAGTAAATTTTGGAAAGTGAATTATATATAATGACGAATCGTTGACCGACTTTTTAAGGGTTCCAAATTACTATATAGATCAAATCAAGTCAACAATACTTGAAATCTATGTTAGGAAGGAGCCTAAGATTAGTCAACAACGTTCTCCTTTATTAGTCGATGTTCATCCCTAATTAGAAAATCATAATAGCATTGATGAATTTGCGATAACTCAATCTACTGATTTTACTAAAACGACTCATTACAAAATACTCTTACCGACCGATATGATTTTGATTTAAACAAAAATTATCAATGATAGTGATCGGTAATGCTCAATTATTATATTTCAATTATTGTTTGTTGATTTTGTCAATTATTTATTAATTTATATTATTTATTATTCTTATTATTGTATATTTTGTAGCGGTTTACCTCAGCAAGATAGGGATATTGCTCCAAGTTATGGACTAAATAATTATTTTGGTTAGTCCTCACACTTTGAAATGATGGAAAATGTTGGGATATCCTCAAATTTTCATGTCTCGCCTACTTTTGACGCAGATGATTATCGCTATGTCTAACACTTATTTTTTTAAATGAATTTTTTATGCAACCATTTTCAAAGTGATTTTTTTTTGAAAGCCATGAAAAGAAAAAGGAGAGAAGGTGAAGGTGAAGATGAAGAGGTAACTTTTTATAAAGTGGAAGATTTTCTTCCACTTTATAAAGTGGAATAAAAAGTTCCCACTTTATAAAGTAGAAGAAAAAGTTCCGTTATATATTAAAAATAAATGTTATAGCAGTAACGGAAAACGTTTAAAAAATTGGATATAGTGAAACTTTTTCTTCCACTAAGCTTATTTTAGTTACTTACTAAAATAGTGGCTTATTTTAGTTATTTTTATATTTTTGTGGCTTATTTTGGTTCCCAACTCATAACCCTTGTATTATGGTAGAATAAGTTCAAATCACATTCCTTGAAGTGTAGTTTTTTCACTGATCTCTGCTAATGTAGAATGCTTTGTGTGCTGCAGGTTATTTCTTTGTGATGATACATTAAATCAGTTAACCAAAATATATTGAATTGATTGTAAAACCTTATATGACTAAGATAAATAACACACGTACCTTAAGTCTCTAAATACTAAAGGGCCTCCCATATTATTATATGGAAAAATGATATGGTGTAGCCATTAGAAATTTGAAATCCCAAACCATACTTTTTGAGTTGAAATGATAATTTTATATCGATGTAAGCTTAACGATTTTGTATAAGATTAGAACAAATATGTATCATTCAGGTTTCGTGGTGTAGTTGGTTATCACGTCAGTCTAACACACTGAAGGTCTCCGGTTCAAGTCCGGGCGAAGCCACTTGTAATTTATTTATTTTTCAAAAATTATTCATCTACAAACTAAAGTTCAGTAGCAGTAACTATCAATGTCTACATTTTCATGGTTAGTTGGTCTACATCTTCATTCAATTCATTGGAGTGCCTCCATCTTGATTAGCATTAGCGCCTAAATCTTGACCAGCATTTCCCTCATTTTGTTCCTCGATTGAACGAAGTAAGGGTATATGTGAAAAATTAATGACAATCCATCAAATAGGGACAGTGCAAAACTTGAGTCTTTTCTCTTTTCTTAGTATCTATTGGGCCATAGATATTGCCAGAAGCCCAAAAATGTTTTGAGGAAAAACTTGACAAATACTGTTTGGTCATATACTTGTCAGATAAATATTTTAATAAAAAATTCAAATTCTCAAATACTAGAATTCTTTTAAATATTTGTGTAAAATTCTGTTATTTGGAAACTTTGAGATAATATTCTTTGGACCACAATCTTATTGAAATACTCCAAACACTGACAAATAGGGTAACTTACAAAAAAATCTACTAGTTTAGGAGCTAATGACTCTGATACACACGCTAGTTTGCAATATTACGAATCTTAACAGATTTAAATGTATCCACACACATAAAAATACATATATCTCAAGAAACATAAGATTATCCACAATTTAATCAAATAAAACCCTACTCAACTATAAGGGCTTTATGCCTATTTTTCAAAATCAAACATTTTTAAATCTCCATACTAGTGAAGCAACTACACTGTTGAAACAAAGACAATTGCAGTGACTTTTAAGCAGTAGATTATAGTCAAAAGATGAAGTAATTAGCAGCATATAGAGAAGGGAAACTCGAGCTCAAGCATGTCAAATGTCAGTTGCTTTTCTCCAAAATCAATATGTAATGAAAATCGAAAAACCAAAAACAGAAATCACACAGTTATGAATGAATTAATACTCGTACAATATGAACTCTATTGTAATAAGGTGCAGCATGAGTGGGCTATGGATATCTGCATTTTCATCAATAGTTGAGATTCAAATGTTTGCATTTAGATCAATATTGCCCAGTCCCTCAATGATATCTACAGCTTCATTAGGAACTTGTTCATTAACGCCTCCATTTCCACCCAGATCAGCATTTTGTTCATTAGCGTTTCCAACTTGTTCTTCTACTGCACCTCCGTCTTGATCATTAGGAGCCTGTTCATTATTGCCTCCATAGAGAAAATCAAACAATGTTTCATTGTTCCAGCTAACAACCGCGTTCCTGCCACAAAATACTTTATTTGAATGAACACCTTACAAGTCATACCATAGATATACATATACAGATGTCTCAATCTGCAATTTCGTAATTAGAAACTTACATCCTCAAGATGGATCCTCCTACTCTATAAACAGTAGACGGTTGGAGGACGGCAAGCTGGAGAAATCACAAGTTCAGTAATTTAACAAATCCGTCTTGAAACTGAAATGATCTTTTAATAAATACTAGTATCTTACAATTTTCCACCCTAGCAGGTTTCTACATTGGAAACAGAAACTCTCGGCTACGGTCAAGTTCATGCCATGTATTACTCTATGTTGTGGCTCGTTCACTGCTTCTATAACCCCAAACCTGCATAGATACATTTGAGAAATAACCCGTGTAGCCGGAATGTAAGAGATGATTACGACATGAGCTCCGCAACCACAACAGTAGAAGTAAGTATCAGAAGGGACATGATTGGATTGAGGCAAATTCTGTCCCATCCTAATAGCCATGTTTGACCTGTTACAGAATAAAGAAGAAAGTGTTAGAGAAATATAAAAGCTGGAAAAATCAATGGAAAGAAAAGACAAACTACTCACCAAAGATGGAGTTGGTGATCAATGAGAATCCAAGAAAAAGAAAAATGGGTGAAAAGGAGAATTGCTCAAAACTGAAATTATATCAATTCTTGAATACTAGTTGAGAAGAGCTCTGTTTTGAAATGGCTTCTTGAGCTCTGTTTTCAAATCTCTCTGAAAATTTTCTAACCTTTTAACTAGGGAGAAAAGAGTTGATGATCAATGAGAATTCAAGAAAAAGAAAATTATAGCAGAAGAGAAATCCCCAAAACTGAATTTATATTCATTCTTCATTCTTGAGAAAAGCTCTGTTTTGAAATCGCTCTGATTTTTTATAACCGTTTATCAGGGATAGATTTTATTTTATTTTTCCCTTTTACTAAATTATAATTTTTTTAACCCTTCAAAACTATTTTCTCCATTATTGATGCAATATGAGAAAAATATTGTCATTATATTAAGAAATACTTCCATTAGTTCTTAAAAGAGAGTGCTCCCTTACATTCAAATGACTGGTTGATAATTTTTTAGATAAATTTTATTCTATCATTCTCATTAATTATTTTTTTTTTCTTATCATTAATTCATAAAATTATTAATTAATTCACGGATTATTTAATGAAGTAACTCATGAAAATAATGTAAAGTGTTAGAAAATTTATAAAAAGGACATGTTTTGCGTGACATCCCAGCTTAAAATTAGAAGTTTCACATCGGCAAAACACTGGAGAAACATTGAATATATTAGTAAGCAGACACTATCAACTAGTGATGCGTTTTAAAGTCGTGCAGAGCCTAGGCCCAAAGCGAACAATATCACTAACAGGTTGGGCCGTTACATGTTCCTTTCAAACATACATCTCCTCTCCCAAATGACACCATGCATGTTCTAAACAGGTGAATTCGCACCTATTCAATCAAGATCGTTGGATATAAATAAATAGAAAGGCTTATCTAGCTTTTGTAACTTCAAATTTTCTTTTTCTTTTGCATACATGTTCTTACAAACAAAGTTAGGTTTTTGTGTGATTTCGTTGTTGATTTTAAATTTGTTGAAGTTATTGAAACTTGAGATGTCGCTACTTTTTTAACTATATCTGTTTTACCCCAACAGAAAATAATTCACGAACTCGGAAAGGGAATAAATTCCAACGACGCTTCAGCTTTTTCTGTTTATTCTTCTGGTATTTCAGTTGAACACAGTTATCACTTACCATCAATCACGTCAGTCTAACACACTGATTATTAATCAGTTCTCCTTTTTGAACAGTTCTATCATAGGAACCGGTTTCATTAGCATCTCTACCTTGATGAGCATTTTCTCCATTAGCCCCTAAATCTTGTTCATTAGCATCTCCGTCTTGATTGGAATTTTGCCCATTAGCGCCTATCTTGATCAGCAATATATAGTTGAAGCCTATCCCTGCCACAAAATACTCATTTGTATCAATCCTTACAAATTATGGAAACATGTATGTAATGAGTAACAAGATGCGACAATTACAAATAAATCTTTAATAATATGTCCAAAAAACACCAAATGAAGGGGGTATTTTGATGTTCCAAATCAATTCTTTTTAAGCAACAAACGATAACTTCTGAATTTTGATTAATAATTAGCAAACTTTCAATTAAATTGGTTTATTCCAACCTGAAGTACTACAATCTCAAAACAGAAATGGAAAACAGAATATCACACATTTATGAATTATAGCATTTGTATAAGCAGAATATCAACATGAGTCGGCTATCAATGTCTGCATTTTCATCTATTCCTTCAGCCACTTGATCTATATATCTTCGGTCTTTTCATTGGCCAGCCTTCTTGACCAACATTTTGCTCATTACCGCCTCCATGTTGATCAGCATTTGCTCATTAGCAAAGCTTCCATCTTGACCAACATTTTGCTCATTACTGCCTCCATGTTAATCAGCATTTTTCTCATCACTGCCTCCATGTTGATCAGCATTTTGGTCATTACCTAGATAAGCAATTAGCTCGACGAGATTCATCATGTAATCAGGAATATTGTCATCATAATCTTCATCTGAGCCTCCACCTTGATCTGCATTTTCCTCATTAGCTTGGAGAAATTGATTCTTAATTAAACGAACCAGTGGTAGATTATTCGAATAAGTAAGCTTGTCCCTGCCACAGGACAGAATACTAATCTGTATTAACCCTTATAAGTCATAAGGCTTATGGATAAGTGTAATCAGAAACTTACAATCTCATACAGAATCTTCCTTGTTTAATAAACTCGTTCTCTCGGTGGATTCCAGTCTGGAGAATAAAAATTTCAGTAAGTATTTGTTATAAAGAAAAGCAACAAAAATGTTGTTGTTGATGATCTTTAATATCAGTATCTTACAATCATCCACCCGAGTATCTTTTCACATTTGATACAGTAAGTTTTGGCTGTGCTAGTTACACATTTTGTTTGAGTATAATAATTCACGTTGTTTTTTATACGAACATTAAACCTGCATATATAAATGATGAGCATTAGACAGCAGAAAAAAGTATGTATACATATCTCAAGTTGCTCAGACTTACACCCAATTAAAGAGCCCTAATACGTCTGATTGACTCTGCAAAATGTATAACAGAGTAGTGCTTAATTAATCAGAATTCGTATTGAAATTCATGAAATTATTTTTGAATCGTTACCATCCGAACATAATTTTTGAACCATGCAATTTGCTCTCTGCATCGAACATTAGGACAGTGGATGCTACCATTAGAAGGGAGCGCATCAGTGTTGTGATCAAGGAAACTGTATCTAAACATATTCATTGTTGAATGAAAAAAATGAATTTGATGGAAATGACAAGAGAGAATGTTCATATATACACATTTTCTAGTTTAATAAGTCAGTAGTATTTTAGGATCCGAATTTGGCTGTAGAGATTGAGATTTTGTTAGACTCTGAACGACCTGTTCAACTCTAATTGGGATTCCTGGACACTAAGCCCTAACTTTAAAATTAAATTACAATTATACACCTATACTATTATAATATAATATGAATAAATATATATTTAATTAAGCAATAAAAATGTAATCAAATTAATCATATTTTATTTACTAAAAAGGCACAATTGCATTTTAAATAATTGAAGGAGTTAGAATTTGGTATATACACAAATTAAATTCTCACATTAAATTTTGATTTCATATTCATCTAGTTAACATGGTCTTTCGGACTTGTTTTACTCATTTCATTTCTCCTATTTAGTTATGGCATTGTAATGTTAATTCTTTTAGTTATTTATAATTATTATTTCCATATTTCCTCTTCCTTAATATTGTATCAGTTAGCTTAACCTGGAAGGCTTTCAAACAGCATGGGATACGTTAACGTATACTTAAGCAGATGACCACTGGCATTCACACCACAAACTAAAGTTCAGTAGTAAAATCAAAGGAAATATCAGTAATCAAGTAGTCGATTATACTCAAATGCTCGACAGATGAATTGTATCAAGAAACTAATGGAATGGTACTTTCAGATTGACTTATTCCAACCTGAAGTAATACCATGTGCAGTACAATCTCAAAACAGAATATCACACAATTATGAATCATAGCATTTTGTATAAGCAGAATATCAGAATGAGTAGCCTATCAATGTCTGCATTTTCATCTATTCCGTCAGCTACTTGATCTATATCTTCGGTCGTTTCATTGGCCGGCCTCCATCTTGATCAACATTTTTCTCACTAGTGCCTCCACCTTTATCAACATTTTGCTCATTAGCGCCTCCACCTTGATCAACATTTTGCTCATTAGCGCCTCCTTCTTGATCAACATTTTGACCGAGGAAATGCATCAAGTAACTAGAAATAGCGCCATCATATTCTTCATCTGAGTCTCCATCTTGATCAACATTTTGCTCGTTAGCGCCTAAACCTTCATCAGCTGTTTCTCCATCTTGATCAGTAGAGACTCCCTCTTGATCAACATTTTGCTCATTAGTGCCTAAACCTTCATCAGCTGTGTCACCATCTTGATCAGTAGAGTCTCCATCTTGATCAACATTTTGCTCATTAGCGCCTAAACCTTCATCAGCTGTGTCTCCATCTTGATCAATATTTTGGTTATTAGTGCCTAAATCTGGATCATTAGAGTCTCCTTCTCCATCAGTTGTCTCTGCATCTTGATCTGCATTTTCCTCATTAGCCCGGAAATTTCGTTCCTGGATTGAAAGAATCATCGCTACACAATTCGAAAAACTAAGCTTGTCCCTGCAACCAAATACTCCTTTGTATTAAGTCTAACCAATTATGTATGAGATTTGCAATTTTTGTAATTAAAAACTTACAATCTCATGCAGAATCTCCCTTCTGTAATATACTCCGACGCTTGGGTGACTGCAATCTGGAGACATACAAAATTCAGTATATATATATATATTTTTTTTAACAGCAACAAAATCTGATCTTTAATATCAGTATCTTACAAATTTCCACCCGATCATTTTATCACATTGGCTACAGTAAATGTTGGCTACGGTAGTTCCAAGATGATTACTCACGTTGTCTGATACATTAACATTAATCCTGCATATATAAATTAGCCTTAGACAGCAGAAGAAAGTGTATCCATATCTCAAATTGCTCATACTTACACCGAATTAAAGAGCCCTATTCCTCTTGATCGAGACTACAAAATGTTCAAGACAAGAAAATGAGTTGGTGAAATATAACAGAGTAGTACTGAAATACAAAATAATTTTTCCTAAATCGAAGAAATTATATTCGAATTGTTACCATCGGAATATAATCGTTGAAGGATGCAACTTGCATTCTGCACCCAAAAGTAAGGCAGTGGATGGTATCATTAGGAGGGATCGCTTCAGGGTTGTGTTCAAGTGAATAGTATCTATCCATTGTTGAATCAATGACGAAAAATGCACAAGAATGAAGAAAAGTCACTTCTTGATTCTTGAATTTACCGTTAATTCTCAATCCATTTTCCCTCCAAAAACTATTTTCTTTTTAATTTCTCATACCGCACAAATTTTATTTTGCAACCCATTTTATTTTGCAACCCATCTCAAATTGTATATAGAACCATTACGTTTCATTTTCCTTTTATTTACTCACCAGAAAATACAGATTAATATCTTAATTAATAATGATATTGTTATGTGAAAAATAGAGATCTTACCTACTAGTACTAATTAATGCATACACTTACGACATGGAGCAAATGGCATCAAATAACTAATTTCTTATTTTCAGTATATTTTTACCACAACTTCACCTTCTGTTTTTTTTATTACTACTAGTTTTACTCTCTTTAGTTTTAAAATTTTATCTAAATATTTTCTTACATTTCGAACAACTCGATAAACTCATTAGATTTGAAGATGATTAGGAATTATCATATAGTTTTTTTTATTCAATTTCAATTAAGTTCTTTCAATTTTCGAGAAATTAATTGATTCTTTTAAAATTATTATGTCTAATTTTGAATGTATATGAAAATGAGTAGTTGATGTTATCTTCAAAATTTTAATTTTTTTTTTAAAAATAATTAATTTGGTTATCAATAATTCAGTAAAGTCTAAATAATAGTATGAATTTTATAAATAATTTGATCCGAGAAGAAGAACAAAAAAGAAAAGAAAAAAAATGAAAATGAGTTTCAATTTGACATGGGGGTTGGGAGATGAAGAAAAAAAAAATGAAGGGATGAAAGTGGGAGGTGAAAGATTAAATGAAATTTAAGATATATCAAAATTAAAATTTAAAAGTAAGAGAGAGAGAAAAAAAGAAAGAAAATGATTAAGGAAAAATTTTAAATTAAAAAAATTGTGATTTTAACTACACGTGTTATGTAATGATTGGGGTGTGAACTCATTTGCTTGTTAAAATTTGGGGCTGATCGAAAAATGATATGATAACATCTGTTCAAAATTATTTAGTAGGGTAATAGGACAGTCGCAAAGTTAAGGTGCTTTATGAAAATTCGAAACAACTTTAATGGTGACTTTATGTTTTTTCTCTTTTATAAACTAATTATGCTATGATACTTATTATCGTCTAAATAAAAAATATTTATATGAATATTACCTTTTATTCCTACAATACCATCTCTAAAAAGTACGGTGTTATTTGTGACTTGAATTTAGATGGTATTATCCACAAGCAAATAACACGGGCTAGCAAATTTCATTGCATTGATTTGATTGTAATTTCTGAAATTGTGTTAAAATTGTATAGCCATGTATATATTTGAATGGTAGAGAACAATGAAAATTTCTTAGTGAAAGAAGTTCTATATATAATACTCCATTTAAAGATGCAGTTTCTTAATGTAGTTGAAGTTTCCTTGTAAAGTGGACGGTTGTTTAGCCGTTATGAAACTGCTCCAATTTTAATTAATTACTTTTTTAAAATGTGTATAAATTAATTTGTTTTAAAATAGATTTTGTATGTAAATTGATGAATTTTTTAAGTTTTATATTTTATTTTATTTTATATTTTCTTGTCTTTTTTTTGTTGTAGAAAATGACATTTTATACAAGTTTTATTCATGGATAATATGATACAAGTTTTATTCATGGATAATATGAGTTTAATTCAATTTATAGATCGTTGTTTTGGTTTTTGTTAGTTACGTTTTTCATTCATTCAAAATTCTCTTCTAATTCAACTTCAATATTGTGTAATACAATTTTAAAGCAATTTAATCTATTTTGTAATTTTTTGATTTATTTATTACTATCGGATTACTTGTTTAATTCATTATTAATACAAGTTTAATTTACTTTATAGATCATTGTGTGTAATATATTTTTAGTTCAACTTTAATATGTGGGTAATACATTTTCATTAAAGTTCAATTTATTTTGCAATTTATTATGTCTCTTCATTTGTTATGATTAAATTATTTATTTAATTAATTAATTATTGATATAAATTTTATTTATTTTATGATTTATTGACTACTATACGAAAGAAAATAAAGAGAGAAACAAAAAAAAAGGCAACAGACAGAGAGAGAATGTACAAAAAGAAAAAAAAAGAGAAGAAAGTAAGAGACGTAGAAAAAAGAAGAGAGAGATAAATATAAAAGTTGGAGAGAATTATTTTATATATTATATTATATAAAATATATAATATATTATTTTATATTGCGTTATTGAAAAATATATCTAAAATAAGTAATTATTTTTAAAAAAAGACACATTAATTCATCCAGCTTTAAAATTTGTTTACTTAGTTCAAATAGGATTAGGTTTTCAATTTCTAGTTTAATTAGGTATCTTTACTATTATAAATAGAGATGTTGGCCTTTTATTTTCTCTTTGTAAAAATATACCAATCAGAAAAGTTTTAGTAAAATTCAAGAACCATAGAAACATATCAATCAGAAAAGTTGGATAATGAGTTCAGATGATAGTAGAGTAATGGAGGCAAGAGTGCAGTTTGTGAAATCCCGTATTCAGCCAGTTATTGAAGACATGGACAAGAAAATCAAGCATCTGGAACTATCACTTGCAACTATGAATGGCGAGATGAAACTCAAATCCCTTACTCAACCCATTACTGAATACGTTGACAACGAAATCAAGCATCTGGAACTATTAATTGCAATCATAAATACCAAGATAAAACTTCATACTGCACATCGATTTTTTTTTCCAGAAGTTGGAACAATTTGTCATGACTCGACTAAATATCACACCTCAAGGTACATATATAGTATTTATTGATATTTGAGGTTTTTTCCAAATCCAAATACATATGATTAATTGATCCAACTTTTTGTTTCAAATGACCAGATATGCTAAACGAAGAAATTAAGATTGATGTTGATGTTGATGGTGATAGTGATGGCGATGGTGATGATGATCAAGACAAGACACGAAGCAGACGTCTTCATCGCATGGTTTCTGTTTTGAATAAAATTCGCAAGTTGATGCGTCTAACCACTAGTACACCGGAGGTGAAGGTTGAACATCTCAAAGAAGAAAAAGAATATAATACTAACTAGTTAGGATTCTATATACTCAACTTTTCTCTACTAATTATAATATTACACTTCTTCAATAATATTTACATTCTCAATGTTATTTACATATTTCAATTAGATAAGTAGTACGAAAATTCTGCATTCATATTTGATTTTTGTTTTACTTATGCCGATTCCAAACCTACTCCTACTCCTCAAAGTCAAAACCCTCCTCTTCTCTTTGTTTACATTACAAAGTATGTGAATGCGTCTATTTGTTTAAGTTTATTCAAATTTAAGTGTTCACTATTACATATTCCGAATTCAAAATTACAAAGTATTAAGTTTAGTTGATGCAAATTCAAACACACACACACACATACATATATATGCCTATTATAAAGTTGAATGTAATTAGGATTAAGAATTCACATATCCATGCAACTTCTGATTAAGAAGAAGATGATATTTTAATACACCATATTGTCACGCCACGCCTATTTGGCTGCATAATTTGACCCGGACAGTGTGACAATATTGTCTTTTAACTTCTTCACAATTTCCTTGAACAATCTTCCCAAAATCAACACTTCAAAAAAAACATCTTTTCGCTTTGTATTCTCTTTAATTTCTTCACAATTTCCTTGAAAAGTCTTTCCTGAATCAACACTCCAAAATATCATCTTTTCCCTTTGTATTAATATGTGTAGATAGTGAAATTTAATTGATAAATTCATACTAAATTTGGATCTAATCTTAAATTTATATGTTGACTAAGTCAAATTACTGATTATAGATCGTTATTTTGTTTTTTGTTAGTTACGTTTTTCATTCATTCGAAATTTTCTTCTAATTCAACTTCAATATTGTGTAATACAATTTTAAAGCAATTTAATCTATTTTGTAATTTTTTGATTTATTTATTACTATCGGATTACTTGTTTAATTCATTATTAATACAAGTTTAATTTACTTTATAGATCATTGTGTGTAATACATTTTTAATTCAACTTTAATATGTGGGTAATACATTTTCATTAAAGTTTAATTTATTTTGCAATTTATTATGTCTCTTCATTTGTTATGATTAAATTATTTATTTAATTAATTAATTATTGATATAAATTTTATTTATGATTTATTGACTACTATACGAAAGAAAATAAAGAGAAACAAAAAAAAAAGCAACAGAAAGAGAGAGAATGTACAAAAAGAAAAAAAAAAGAAGAAAGTAAGAAAGGTAGAAAAAAAAAGAGAGGGAGAGATGAATATAAAAGTTGGAGAGAATTATTTTATATATTATATTATATAAAATATATAATATATTATTTTATATTGCGTTATTGAAAAATATATCTAAAATAAGTAATTATTTTTAAAAAAAGGACACATTAATTCATCCTGCGTTAGAATTTGTTTACTAGTTCAAATAGGATTAGGTTTTCAATTTCTAGTTTAATTAGGTATCTTTACTATTATAAATAGAGATGTTGGCCTTTTATTTTCTCTTTGTAAAAATATACCAATCAGAAAAGTTTTAGTAAAATTCAAGAACCATAGAAACATATCAATCAGAAAAGTTGGATAATGAGTTCAGATGATAGTAGAGTAATGGAGGCAAGAGTGCAGTTTGTGAAATCCCGTATTCAGCCAGTTATTGAAGACATGGACAAGAAAATCAAGCATCTGGAACTATCACTTGCAACTATGAATGGCGAGATGAAACTCAAATCCCTTACTCAACCCATTACTGAATACGTTGACAACGAAATCAAGCATCTGGAACTATTAATTGCAATCATAAATACCAAGATAAAACTTCATACTGCACATCGATTTTTTTTTCCAGAAGTTGGAACAATTTGTCATGACTCGACTAAATATCACACCTCAAGGTACATATATAGTATTTATTGATATTTGAGGTTTTTTCCAAATCCAAATACATATGATTAATTGATCCAACTTTTTGTTTCAAATGACCAGATATGCTAAACGAAGAAATTAAGATTGATGTTGATGTTGATGGTGATAGTGATGGCGATGGTGATGATGATCAAGACAAGACACGAAGCAGACGTCTTGGTTTCTGTTTTGAATAAAATTCGCAAGTTGATGCGTCTAACCACTAGTACACCGGAGGTGAAGGTTGAACATCTCAAAGAAGAAAAAGAATATAATACTAACTAGTTAGGATTTTCTATATACTCAACTTTTCTCTACTAATTATAATATTACACTTCTTCAATAATATTTACATTCTCAATGTTATTTACATATTTCAATTAGATAAGTAGTACGAAAATTCTGCATTCATATTTGATTTTTGTTTTACTTATGCCGATTCCAAACCTACTCCTACTCCTCAAAGTCAAAACCCTCCTCTTCTCTTTGTTTACATTACAAAGTATGTGAATGCGTCTATTTGTTTAAGTTTATTCAAATTTAAGTGTTCACTATTACATATTCCGAATTCAAAATTACAAAGTATTAAGTTTAGTTGATGCAAATTCAAACACACACACACACATACATATATATGCCTATTATAAAGTTGAATGTAATTAGGATTAAGAATTCACATATCCATGCAACTTCTGATTAAGAAGAAGATGATATTTTAATACACCATATTGTCACGCCACGCCTATTTGGCTGCATAATTTGACCCGGACAGTGTGACAATATTGTCTTTTAACTTCTTCACAATTTCCTTGAACAATCTTCCCAAAATCAACACTTCAAAAAAAACATCTTTTCGCTTTGTATTCTCTTTAATTTCTTCACAATTTCCTTGAAAAGTCTTTCCTGAATCAACACTCCAAAATATCATCTTTTCCCTTTGTATTAATATGTGTAGATAGTGAAATTTAATTGATAAATTCATACTAAATTTGGATCTAATCTTAAATTTATATGTTGACTAAGTCAAATTACTGATTATAGATCGTTATTTTGTTTTTTGTTAGTTACGTTTTTCATTCATTCGAAATTTTCTTCTAATTCAACTTCAATATTGTGTAATACAATTTTAAAGCAATTTAATCTATTTTGTAATTTTTTGATTTATTTATTACTATCGGATTACTTGTTTAATTCATTATTAATACAAGTTTAATTTACTTTATAGATCATTGTGTGTAATACATTTTTAATTCAACTTTAATATGTGGGTAATACATTTTCATTAAAGTTTAATTTATTTTGCAATTTATTATGTCTCTTCATTTGTTATGATTAAATTATTTATTTAATTAATTAATTATTGATATAAATTTTATTTATGATTTATTGACTACTATACGAAAGAAAATAAAGAGAAACAAAAAAAAAAGCAACAGAAAGAGAGAGAATGTACAAAAAGAAAAAAAAAAGAAGAAAGTAAGAAAGGTAGAAAAAAAAAGAGAGGGAGAGATGAATATAAAAGTTGGAGAGAATTATTTTATATATTATATTATATAAAATATATAATATATTATTTTATATTGCGTTATTGAAAAATATATCTAAAATAAGTAATTATTTTTAAAAAAAGGACACATTAATTCATCCTGCGTTAGAATTTGTTTACTTAGTTCAAATAGGATTAGGTTTTCAATTTCTAGTTTAATTAGGTATCTTTACTATTATAAATAGAGATGTTGGCCTTTTATTTTCTCTTTGTAAAAATATACCAATCAGAAAAGTTTTAGTAAAATTCAAGAACCATAGAAACATATCAATCAGAAAAGTTGGATAATGAGTTCAGATGATAGTAGAGTAATGGAGGCAAGAGTGCAGTTTGTGAAATCCCGTATTCAGCCAGTTATTGAAGACATGGACAAGAAAATCAAGCATCTGGAACTATCACTTGCAACTATGAATGGCGAGATGAAACTCAAATCCCTTACTCAACCCATTACTGAATACGTTGACAACGAAATCAAGCATCTGGAACTATTAATTGCAATCATAAATACCAAGATAAAACTTCATACTGCACATCGATTTTTTTTTCCAGAAGTTGGAACAATTTGTCATGACTCGACTAAATATCACACCTCAAGGTACATATATAGTATTTATTGATATTTGAGGTTTTTTCCAAATCCAAATACATATGATTAATTGATCCAACTTTTTGTTTCAAATGACCAGATATGCTAAACGAAGAAATTAAGATTGATGTTGATGTTGATGGTGATAGTGATGGCGATGGTGATGATGATCAAGACAAGACACGAAGCAGACGTCTTGGTTTCTGTTTTGAATAAAATTCGCAAGTTGATGCGTCTAACCACTAGTACACCGGAGGTGAAGGTTGAACATCTCAAAGAAGAAAAAGAATATAATACTAACTAGTTAGGATTTTTATATACTCAACTTTTCTCTACTAATTATAATATTACACTTCTTCAATAATATTTACATTCTCAATGTTATTTACATATTTCAATTAGATAAGTAGTACGAAAATTCTGCATTCATATTTGATTTTTGTTTTACTTATGCCGATTCCAAACCTACTCCTACTCCTCAAAGTCAAAACCCTCCTCTTCTCTTTGTTTACATTACAAAGTATATGAATTGGAGAGGGAAGATTGTCGCGTGCTCACTGCAGGTTGCGTACGGAGGAGCAGACTGCAGGTTTCCGTTGCAGCCTTGTTCCTCCACGCGCTGGAGAGGGAAGGGGAGCGAGAGGAGGGAGAGACGCGGGGGGAGAGGTCGCGTGAGGGTTTCCATCTTCTGGGTTCTTTGTTGGGGTCGCGTTTTGCTGGAATTGTGGCGTCTGTTTCTTCTGGGTTTTGTTTGCTGTTCTGGGAATCGAGGTGAGGGAAAGGGGAAGGAGGGGGAATTGGGTCGGGTCGGGTAGGATAAATGGGTTTATTGGGTCGGGTATTGGATTGGAAAGGGAGGTGGGAAGTGTTGGGCCGAATTGGATGGGTTGTTTAGCTAGAAAATGGAGGGGATTTGGATTAAAGTGGGCTGATAATTAAATTTGGAAAAGAATTGGGCCTGGATGTTGAGGAGTAAGGTGGGCTGAAATTGGGAGTGGACGAATTAATTAAAAATGGGGAAGGGAACTTGGTTAGTTTAACAAATAATCATTTAAAATGATGAATTTGGTCAAAACCTAGATAAAACGAATTCGTATTAATTAATCAACGAGTTTCTTTATTTAGTAATAGGGTTATTAACATTGTAAAAAAAAGTGACTCAAAAGTATAACTATAATAAAACATTTAAATGTATATTTTGATGATTTTTGAATAATCATAAGATATACTACTTATATACATAATTATGTAAATGTGTATATTACCTAAAAATTATGGTAAAACATCAAATCCATGTATTATATGTATATATATATATATATATATATATATATATATATATATATATATATATATATATATATATGTATATATATATATATTATTTTATTTTTAATTTTCACAAGATTTATAAAACTAATTAACTTAAATAATTCGGAAAACTCATGAAGCTCGCTAATTAAATCATACCGATGCGGGTCAAAATTGAGTGTCAACACTAAGTTTATTTGTTTAAGTTTATTTATATTTAAGTGTCCACTATTACATATTCAGAATTCAAAATTACAAAGTATTAAGTTTAGTTGACGCAAATTCAAACACACGTGTGTGTATATATATATATATATATATATATATATATATATATATATATATATATGTATATGTATATGCCTATTATAAAGTAGAATGTAATTAGGATTAAGAATTCACATATCCATGCAACTTCTGATTAAGAAGAAGATGATATTTTAATACACCATATTGTCACGCCACGCCTATTTGGCTGCATAATTTGACCCGGACAGTGTGACAATATTGTCTTTAACTTCTTCACAATTTCCTTGAACAATCTTCCCAAAATCAACACTCCAAAAAAAACATCTTTTCGCTTTGTATTCTCTTTAATTTCTTCACAATTTCCTTGAAAAGTCTTTCCTGAATCAACGCTCCAAAATATCATCTTTTCCCTTTGTATTAATATGTGTAGATAGTGAAATTTAATATGAGGAAATCATAGCTCAATAGATGATTTCTCATCTCATCATTAGTATTAAGTGTTTTAAACTCAATATTTTAATTAGAGTGTTCATAGAGACTGGTCTCTTCATTATCTTACACTCTCATTGGTGAGTACATATTGGTAACATTTACTTAGGCTCATTTGAGATTGCTCTCATCATATACATTAGTCTCACATCATGATTGTCACCACATTCTTCATTATTAGCACCTTTATTTTTCATAGTTACTCACCTCTTCTTACGTGAATGTTCATTTCTTCATTTCATAGTTCATCTCATCATATGCCAATGCACTTGGCTATTTAGTGTATCTTACATTCATACTTAATCCTCATAAGATTCATCATTTTATTACGTATTAGGTTCACTTATTTTTGAACGTATGTTAGACTTATGTGTATAACATACAAGCCATGGGGCTTTATTCATAGTTCGCTAAGTGATTCTTACTTTCCTAAGATTATGTATTACAAGACTTATGTATCTTGTATATATGCCAAGATCTTGATTTTTTTATCCAAATAGATGGCATTATTCTTGAATATTTTACTCACGTATGACTTATGTATCAATACGGAGGTTTGGGCATGGGAACCCAAATCTTGAATCACTTGGATATCATTTATATTTTTCATTGATTTTATTTCTAATATTCATAACATTATAAATTTAAATTAAATCTCAACATTTACATGAAGGGATTAATTTTCTATTTTGATTAGAATTCTAAATTAAATCTCAACATTTACGTGAAGGGATTAATTTTCTATTTTAATTATAATTCTAAATTAAATCTCAACATTTACATGAAAGAAATAATTTTTTCTATTTCAATTAGAATTCTAAATTAAATCTCAATATTTACATAAAAGAAATAATTTTCTATTTTTATTTAGAATTCTAAATTAAATCTCAATATTTACATGAAAGAATTAATTTTCTATTTTAATTAGAATTCTAAATTGAATCTCCATATTTTGCATGAACGAATTAATTTTCTATTTTAATTTTACTATTAATTAACCGAAGGGTTGGAGGTTCGAGCCCTCACAACCCCTTTGATTTTTAGAATTAAAATTGCTACAATAGGGAGGTTGTGGGTTCAATCCCCACTCTCCACATTTAGTTTTACTTCTTTATTTTCATGGTTTTTAACATGGTGAGGTCACAGGTTCAATCCTCCATGACCTCACTTGTTTTGATTCATTTTTCAACATTTTGAACCTTCTTTGCTGATCGAAATTCATCACTAGAAGCTGGAAATTTTCTTTTAATTTTTCAGCTTTCGTTTATCAAGTTACACCTTAGTTCTTAGGGGAATTCGTACTGCATTTAGAATGTTTTAGGCGCATTTTCATGGATTTTCTTAGACAAGAGATTATCCCTCAAATCAGCCACATTTCAACTCATATGAACATCACATTACATCAACATGTGTACATGAAATATAAAGAACTGTCATGCCATTTCATATCCTAAACCATGAACAATAGCCACGGTGACACACACATACACACGTTATATTTCGAAAACATCAACATAAGTCACATAATTCAAAACATACATATAAACATATAATCATCAAGAAAACATGTTTCATCCCTAGTTTTCTACCAACAAACATAACCAACCTATGATTCAATGGGAGCTAGTGACAGAGATATGCAACGGGGAACACTAAACCTGCATATGTTCCTTATTAGAGGATAAATAAAATCACAAGATTTTGAAATTGCATGATACTTACACTCTAGTAAACAACCCTGCAGGCACTCTAGCAAGAATCTCTAGATTCGGAAAGTAATTTTGGATCCTTGCAACTCGAGTTGTGCAACTACGACAGTGGAGGTACTGAACAAAAGGGATGTGATTGTCTTCAGGCAAATTCTGTCTTATCACAAATTGTTGAATCAAGAACCAAATCCTAACAGACATGATTCACCTATTAAGAAGAAATTGTAAGAGAAATATAAAAGCTGGAAAAATCAATGGAAAGAAAAGACAAACTACTCACCAAGGATGGAGTTAGTGATCACTGAGAATCCAAGAAAATAAAAATGATGAAAACTAAAACTGAAAATTATATTAATTCTTGAATTCTAGTTGAGAAGAGCTCTGTTTTGAAATGGCTTCTTCAGCTCTGTTTCAAATCGTTCTGAAGATTTTCTACCGTTTACTAGGGATAAATTTATATAATAAATTTTGAAATAGCTTCATCATTCTAATTATTTTTTTTAAAAAAAATATTAATCCACAAAATTATATATTGATTAATAATTAATTAATTTTAAATTTTGCGATATGTTTACAGGAAGGACATACATGTAAAATATTCAGTGTCAATCGGTTATTCCAAGCTGAAGTAATAATATGAATATTACGAAAAAGGCTCCTCTCTAGTACATAATCTCTCCATTACCTTTTTAATATTTTGACATTCGTCATACAAATAATTTAATGACTCATATTTGTTTGGCTAACTAAAGAAATTTACTGTAGTTAATATTTCTTACTTCCATTATGTGCTTAAAATCCATTTTTCTCTACCATAGTTTATTTTTTCATTTTTTTTTTGCAACAAATCAACAATAGATTTCTGAATTTTATTTATAGTGTTATATTTGAGACTTTATATTCATTTATTTTTAGAGTGTGTTTGGTATGAAAGAAAATGTTTACCAATTTTCTTATGTTTGGTTGGGACAAAAGTTTTGGAAAATATTTTCCAAATCAACTCATTTTCCTCAAAATTAAGTAAAATGATTTTCCTTCAAAAATTCCGGAGTCTTTTAACTTATTCACCGACCTTACCTAGAGCACCTAGCTCATAGATCATTGTAGAGCTAGCGATACATGTCTCTTTTGAAATATTTCTAAGAGACTGCTCCTCTACCAATAGTAAATACATATCCACTCGTGAATTTTACTTCATTCTTCCGATGATTCAATTTGTATCACTATATCTTTCAATATTGTTGAATATTGTCATAATGCAAGACATAGTTTTAAGTATTATTTTAAATACTCCAAAACTCTATTTATTGTCATCTAATGAATTTATTTGGGATCACTTGTGAACGAACTCAGTTTAAAATAGCAAATGCTATATCTGATCGCACACACTATATGATATACATCATGCTTCCCAAAAATCTAGCACAATCCAATTGTGAGTCACTTTTGTTTTCACTTTTTTGAAATGCAAAACTCACATTTATTGAACACTTGACAATATTGACATTCAAATATTTGAACTAGTTAAGTACCTTTTCAATGCAATGAGACCATGAAAATGCTAAACATTATGGAGTTCTACTAATTCTTATATCTAAGATCGCATTAGCAACTCCAATAATTTTCATTCCACTTGCTTTATAGCATACGTTTAGTAGCATTTATGTCATTAGTGTCTCTATTGATGATCAACATATCACCAATATACAAACAAACAATGACCTTATGATTTTAATGTGAACACATTTATCACTTCCATCATTCTTCAATCCATTTGCCGACATGGTTTGATTGAATTATGTCATTGTTTTGGTGCTTCCATAATGTGACTTAACAAGTTCACATACTTTCTTTTATTTACCAGGTACCACAAAACCCTCGGGTTGTTCCATGTAAATTTCTTCCTCCAATTCTACATTTAAGAAAGTTCTTTTCAAATTCATTTGATGAATTTGGAGGTCATATACCACAGTAATAATTTTTGCATCCGAATGGATGTAATTCTAATTACTAACGAGTATATATATCGAAAAGATCAAAATCTTATTTTTTCCCCTAAAGTCTTTGACACAAAGTCTTGCTTTATATTTTTCAACAGTTCCATCAACTGTTATTTTTCCTTCTAAAGATTCATTTTGAACCCAAAGGTTTATTTTCTTGAAGAAGATCAATTAACTTTCAATATTGTTTATTGACACCATCTTTCCAAAGGATGATTCTACAGAAGACAAAGAAAATGTTACAAAATCATATTCGAAGGAAGTAAATGTCCTTTAACATTTTACTAAGCCTCTGAATCTCTTTATTAAGTACATTATCCTTTTCATTTCCTAGGACTTTTAGGCCATTCTCTAGACTACTTAAGTCTAATTTTATAATCCACAGTCATAGGTCCTATTCTAATTCTTTTAGGAATAGGATCTTGGACTTTGACTAGATACTCCCACACTTTGAAATATTTCAAGTTGAATTTCCTTTCTTTCCATTTCTCATATGGAAAAAATTGTATTGTGATCAAACAAAATCATTTTCTTTCTAAAAGGACAAAACTTTTTGTTGATCCCTTTTGCAGAAGGATAGTTCCTCCACACAAGTTTTGTGTAGACCCGAACTTATAAATAATGCATCCATCACTTCTTTCAACGTTCGTTTTTTCATTAGATTGAGGTGAATATGGGCATAGTTTGATATTTCACTTTCCAAACATATTTCTGCACAATGAGATTTATACTCTCCATGCTTATCACTTCTTATTATTTTTTTACACTGATTTTCAACTTCGATATTAAATTGTCTAGACATTTCTATTGCTTCATCCTTACAATTTAGCATATAGACAGTCATTTCTAATGCAATTCTCAATAAAAGTAACAAATACTTTTTCCCACCATGAGATGGTGTTAACTTCATATCATAAATGTCAGTGTAAATCAATTCTAAGGGATTAGAATTCCTTTCAACAGATTTATAAGAATTCTCAACATACTTAGATTCCACAAAAACTTGACATTTTTATTTATTGCACTCAAAGTTAGGCAAAACTTCTAAGTTGATCAGTTTTTCTTACAAGGTTTTGTAATTGACATGCCCCAAGTGTTCATGTCACAAACATTAACTCAAGCAAGTAAACACAAATAAAAACATTGAGTTGAAAAGCTCTTCGTGAGGTAGATTTTTCCTCACTAATATTTTGTTCCTATTTCTTACAATTTTGTGTGATACAAACATTGTTTAGATTGTCAAATATCCTTTTCAGAAGGACATTTCCATAACTTTCAATGTGATTGTTATAAAATTACCTATGAACAAAGTTTCATCGGGTTCAATAAAGACAATATAGTCCAACTGTTATTTTTACAAAAACATAACAAATGACTATTCACCAATATTCATGTCTATGCAAATACTTTTATTATAATAGACATCTTTTCATGAAAAATCACAACATTTTAAGTAATTTTTTTCATAAAAAAACACAATTATTTTGAACAAGTATATATATATAATTTGGATGTTTCATACTAGTCACACTATATACTAGTAATAGAGAAGCTCAACAACCACAATACCAAATATACTCCAAGAATTTTGTGGGTATAACATAATACAAAAGTATCATTGAATTTCATATCTTTTGTTCCAAAGTTAAATTAGATACCAAGTCTAATCATAAGCAAATAACCCCCACATTTCAAATGTGATCTCAAAAATATTTTTCAAGTATTTGAAAATAGTTTTTCCACATATTTTAATGTTGGAAACATTATTCTACGAAAGAATTATAGTGCTGCAATTCTCTTTGACAGTGTTTATACAATGTCAAAGTTCATTCCATAGAGACACAAAATCACAAATTCTAAGTCACTGGTATTTTTTCTATATCATAAATAGACATGCCACTTAGTATTTTAAATATTAACAATAAGGACAAAACAAAATTGTACAATTTATTTCTATGTTACATTGAAGTTTATAGAAAATCAAAAGTACAACACTGACTTAATATGTGAAGTTTTCATATTCTTCAAACCAATTGCAGAGTCCAATTTATCCAGAATATAAAACCACAAAAGTTTTTAGTCTACAAAAATCAGACAAACTAACATTTCTCATGGAGTACAAAACTACAAAAGTCTTTTTTTTTCTCCAAACAGAATAACACATATTCTTTATCACATAGAAATGTTTTTCTTATCAAATAGTATTCCAACTATAACAATTTGACATACTATTTATCAAACAAAAATATGCATCTCTCATTTTTGCAAACTAAAGAATTTTAAAAGCAACAATATCTGCGAAGTAAAATTCATTCCACAACATATGGTTTGCAAATCTTTTTCCAAAGATACACATAATAAATAAATAAAAAATCTAAGATGATTACTCTTAGAAACTATTTTCCTCCTTAGATAATTTAAGAAGGTTACCTGGTAATCTTTAAACGGAATACCATAATTTTTTTTGTCACATTCTCACTTCGACTTTGCAAAAACAAAGCAACGAATTATGGAGAAGTAATGTATTTATCTTCTACTTCCATGATCAGATTCTCTCAATCAGTAGAATACAAAAAAATACTAACAGTATAGTAATTTTCTTAAGATTGTTGTTCATCTTGTATTCCAAACATACTTATAACAAAACTTTGAACATCTTTATAAGAAAACAAAGTTTAAGAACATTTTCACAACTAGAAAATTAAAACTAGTAGCGAAACTAGAATCAGAAACAAATTTTTTTAAAAAATATACGAAATATTTTTCTTAAAGAAGAATTGTTGTTAATATGTGTCTAAAGAATCTTACCGATTCCAACAAACTTTGCAGAAACACGAAGTTACCAAGTTTAATGAATCAGTGAAAAACAAAAGAATAGAAGAACTGAAATTAATTCACAAATCTAAAGTTTGTAAAACACGTACCAGAATCTGGAAATTTTTTAATAGGAAAAAGATCAAGTCCACTGAATTCACAGTGTCCCCTTAAGGAAATTTTATTCCCCTCTAGTATCTGAAGTTTGATTTGGAATATGACCTCCCAGGGTAAAATGATCTCAATCACCAGAGTATAGATACCAAAAACTCCGGTGTCAGCGAACCACTCAACGACAGTAAAGTACACTTACTTGTCTGTTTCTTTGTCTTCGAGTCGTTCCCCATTCATGCGGGGGGATTGTTGGATTTTAAAAAGGTGTGAATGGAAAATGAAGAGTTGCGACTTTTATGAAGAGTTGTGACTTTTATGAAATGTTGCGAATTTTATGAAAAGTTGTGACTTTTATGAAAAGTTGCGACTTTTATGATTTGTGTTCATTAGGAGCCTGTTGAATATCCCTTCCATCTAGATCATGATTCTGTTCATCACCACCTCCATCTTGATCATCATTTTGCTCATTATCATCTAAAATTTGTTCATTAGGAACCTCTTGATCACCGCCTCCATGTTGATTATGATTTTTCTCATTAACATCTAAATCTTGTTCATTAGGAACCTCTTGATCACCGCCTCCATCTTGATAAATACTTTGCTCATTAGCACCTAAATCTTGCTTGATAGGAACCTGGTGATCACCACCTCTATCTTGATAATCTCGTTCATTAGGAACCTGTGGATCACCCCATTTAGTAATGCATTTTTCCTCGGCAAATTTAACACTAGACAGTGTCTGTCTAATCGCTTTTTATTAAACGTAAAAAATAGCATGAAGAAAATAAGAGTTAGAAAGAATTATGTATTTTCTTATAAACACAAAATTTGTAATACAATTCATGATGATATTACAAACGAGGATACTTAAATAATGTTAAAATTGTCAATCAAAAAGAAAGTTGAGTTATAGCCTCAAACTTTCTATTACAAAAGCATGAATTAAGAAGATTGATTGTCCATTGAAGTAACTTGAAGTATTTTTCTCCTGTCTTCTTCTTCAAACATATCCAACAACACCTGATAATTCATACTTTCTCTATAGATTTATTGGATCCTGTTGAACCTATAGATAATGTCAAATGGATCTGCTTTGCCTGTCACGTCGGTAGGTGTCTCGGAACAAACTCCTCAGTTATTTTACAGTTACGTTGCATTCCATGAGTCTTTTTTTTACATTTGTAGAAGAACCAGTTGCCATCCTAGCCAGAGATGTGAGGAAATTGCTCTCGAGAGCCATTCCTATTGTTAAGGTCCGTTGGAGGCATCGTTCAGTCGAGAAGGCTACCTGGGAGACCGAGCAGGAGATGCGAGAGCAGTTTCCCGACTTGTTTGAGCCTTCAGGTACTTCTAAACCCTTACTTTCGCGGACGAAAGTTCTTTTTAGTAGTGGATATTGTAATGACCCTTCTTTTTATTTTTAGTGTTTTATCTTCTGTACATCGTTTAGAGCGTTCCTATAACGATTCCAAGTCATTTATGACTTGCTGGGACTGAGAGATCGGTCACCTAGTCATTCGTTTGGTTATTGTGTGAGCTTTAGTATTTTTTTTGGAGCTTATGAATCTTGAACGACCATTTTCGATCAAAATTTCAAGTCAGAATCCAATTTTGACGATTCCATCAGTTCCAGAAGGATCATTTTAGTCTAGTAGCATTGTCGACATGACTCCCAAAGTTTTCAGTGTGAGTTGGTGTGATTAGGCGTTTTAACTTTAAGTTTAAAGGCTAAGTTTGACTTTAGTCAACATTCTGAGTAAACGCGCTCGGATAAGAATTCCGTCAGCGCGGTTAGCTCCGGAATGTCGAGTTTGGTCTAGTTTGACCCTTCTTTCGGGTTTTGAGGTTTTTGATATTTTTGCAAGCCCTGTGGTTTTTGACTTAAAATGGCCAATGAAGTGGGACCCACATTTTATCGAGATGACCTCTGATGAAAATTTCGACTGCGCCTTTGAGTTCGGAATGTCGACTTTGGTAGGGTAGCATATCTGTTTTATTTTTATCAGGTTCCGAACGGATTCCGAGCACCCATAGGAGACTTTAAAGAAAGTAGGCAAAGCTGAAATCTGGTGCAGCCCTTTTAACGATCAGAAATTGGGTTTTTAATGACCAGATTCGTCCTTATAAAAATCCAACTTCAGCCTTTGTGTCTTACTTTGAAATTTCTATATTTTGAGCTATACAAGTCCAAATTGGGCGATTCAAAAGGCTAATTTGTGAGATTTTTCGAGGGCAACGCATTGGTGAGCTTGGAATCTAATTTGGGGACCCAATTTGAGGTAAATTTTGGGTTTTAACTGCTGTCATAGCTCATTTTCGAGCACAAGTTTTGGGAAATTTTAGAAGGTGATTTCTTGGCCATTTTAGGTCCGAATCTAGTGATTCAAGAGCCTATATTGTGGGGGTTTTCATGAGGATCGTCGTGGTGTGATTGGTTTTGGCTGTTGGACCTTCACTTTTGGTAAAATCTTGTAAGTAGTTGCTGCCATTGTTGCTGATTTTTAGCTTAGAATTTGGGTTTTTTGTTGTTGCATGTTCATGTTGGGACTGTCTTGAGTCCTGAATTGTGTTCCATTACGATATAAAAGTTCTGAGAGTTATTTAGGACTTTTATTTGGGGTTAATTCTGGATTTCTCAACGCGGATCCCACTTTTTCCATTTTGACCGCGAAATTGATCCGTCTCCGTTTCTTGCGATTTTAGTGTTTTAATGACCGTAATAACGTCGTGACTCTGTTTCTGATAGTGTATCAACGTTTCGAGTCCTTTTAGGAAGTAAAAGATCTAGAGAAGTGAATTTTGGAGCGCGCGTGATCTGCGTTCAGGTAGGCTACGGTTTCTCTTCTTAGATTGAACTCGAACATGTGAATGCATGTTGATTAGTTGAAATTTGGGTTGGGTAGTTATTGGATCATGCATAGGTGTTAAAAATCATATTTTCGACCTTTTTCTGAGAATTATCGGGTAACTGTGAGCATGTTTATTATTAATAATTGACCTTCATTGCTATATGAATTACTTGTATGTTTGAATACTGGTAATCAGAAGTATGTTGGGCTTTAGTTTAGGTTTGACTAGGGTTTTCCTTAGAAATGCATGATTCAAAGTCGGTAGGACTTAGTTTAGCCCCGATGTCGCTCGACCGGCTTAAATCCTTGTAGACTGATGTAGCAGACTTGAGTCAGATAGTTTGGTATTTAGAAAGACGATAAGCTTGCTCTAGCAATAGTTACTCTTATTTCTCGATGTTACGGCTTCTCGAGTTACGTCAGTGACAATAAATTCTGCTCCATGATTCAAAGTTGAGTTTGATTCAGCTTTAAGGACTTACATTGATTAGCTAAGTCTGGATGGTGTTCCACGGGTTTATATGATTAAGGATAGATAAAGACTCTTTCAGCAGCTATATCGACATCTTTGTCGGGTATCCGGATTTAAGGTCCGGCCTCGAACATCCACATACTTATGTAGAGCATCCAGTTAGAGGTCTGGCCTCAAGTATGTAGAGCATCCGGTTAGAGGTCCGGCCTCAGTTACTTATATTTTGCAATTAGCTACTTGTGTAATTCTGGTGAGCGTCCGGTTCAAGGCCCGACCTCCGTACCATCAAATTCTACTTTTTGGTTCGGTGTTCTTTGGCTTCGAGTTCTATTCTCATTAAGTTATAGTTATTTTGTGTACTCGTCGGGCTTATGGGGGTCTGTTCGTGTTTTTATTTAAACTTGTGCACGAGTGTACTTTCTGGGCTTATGGTGGGTCCAGTTAGGTGTAGTTAGCTTATTTATATTAATTTAGTTAGATCTTTATACACTCGTGTGCATTATTGTGTTACTTAGCCTTCTATTCTTGACCATTAGTTTTGTGATTCCGTCCTTTCATAGTGCTTTACTTTTCTAGTTCAGTCGGCCTATGATGCCTACTGGGTACCTGTTGTTTGGTACTCATGCTACACTCTGCATCTATTTTCGTGATGCAGGTCTGAGCACCAGTAGTCAGCGTTGATCGAGTTTGGAGCATTTCTGGTCTGGAGACAGAGGTGAGCAACAACATTTTGTACTATTTCAGTCTCCATCTGTTTATATAAAGACTTGTCTATTAATTTTTGAGACAGTCTAGTTTTGGTGGTCCACTGTTGGGACTTGCACTCATTTTGTTGGTAGCTCTGTATTAGTGACTTCCAGGCTCTGGGAGGGATCCTTATTGTATTTATGTTTTGGTTTGCTTATGTTGTTATAGTAATTTTGCTTAGTCTTGTTTAGTTTCTACTGTCACACCCATTACGTGTTCTTTTGGGTTGTGGTTTGGCTTACCTACTGGTGGGTTATAGTAGGTGCCTTCATGACTCGAGAAATTGGGTCGTGACAAGTTGGTATCAGAGCCCTAGGTTCAACGGTCTCACTTTTACAGAGCTAACGTCTAGTAAAGTCCTGCGGATCGGTGCGGAGACGTCTGTAACTTATCTTCAGCAGGCTACAGGATGTATTTAGGAAAATATCCATTTTGTTTCAAATTCGTGCCGCGTGTGTCTTGTTTGTTTCTTAAAATCTCAGTTGTTTCACTCTATTATAGGATGGCTCGCACGCGAGGCGGTGCATTCGGGGGAGATGCACCCGGAGCCTCAGCTTGGGGTAGACATCGACCCTGAGGTCGAGGTAGGGCCGCAGCACCGGCCCGGGATAGGGAGGAGGAGCCTCATGCAGCGCATGTACCGCCACAGCCAGTGGGGCCGGGGCCAGCCCAACCACCAATCGCGCCAGTTGCAGCACTTGATCTTCATTCCCTTTTGACTCAGATATTAGCAGCTATTGGGGATATGCGACAGGCACCAGCACCAGCAGTACCAGCACCAACGCTGCAAGATCAGCCGCTACCAGTTCATGTGTTCGCCTCACCAATTTTAGAGGTTAGAGAGATGCCACTGCGGGATCAGAAGATTCTTGGGGTATTTCAGAGGTTGGCACCGCCTATATTCTTAGGGGCGATTGGAGAGGACGCTCATGAGTTCAAGCTCACTTGCCAGGAGCAGTTACAGTCATTAGGCCTTTTGGAGTCGAGAGGAGCTGACTTTACCGCCCATCAGTTCCGTAGGCCAGGCAGGCAGTGGTGGCGTACGCATCGAGAGTCTAGGCCAGTTGGATCTCCTATTATATCTTGGAGTGAGTTCTCAGAGGCTTTCTTGGCCCAGTTCATGCCACAGAGCGTCAGAGATAGGCTTCGTGATCAGTTCTCTAGATTGGAGCAGGTATCTATGACTGTTTCAGAGTATGAGGCGAGGTTCCATGAGTTGTCTCGCCATGCTACTATGATCCTGCCCACAGAGGGAGAGAGAGTTCGTTGTTTTGTACGTGGGTTGCGATACCGTTTGAGGGTTGACACAGAGCATATGGTTTCAGCTGGCCGTTCTTTTATTGATGTGGTCGATCATGCCCGATCCATGGAGCATATTCATCATGAGGCCCAAGGGGGCAGCGATAAGAGGGCACGCTACCAGGGCAGCTATAGCGAGTCGCAGACTAGGGGGAGGGACTCATATGATAGGCCACGTCAGAGGTTCGAGCAGGGTTAGACTAGTCGGCCTGTTCAGGCGACATTACCTATTTCTGAGGGTGGCCAATATCAGCAGAGTGGTCCTAATACAGGCCAGAATTTGAGGGGATAATATTCCTTTCCATCATGCCGCGGTCGGGTTACAGGGCGTTCAACTTCGGGGTGTTATGATTGTGGTGCTCTTGAACATTGGTCTATAGAATGCCCCCGGCGAGGTCGGGAGGCGATTGTACCAGCTCTACCTACTTCTAAACCAGTTTCAGCCGTGTCTTCTTCGGCTAGAGGAGGTGGTCAGATTCAGGTTCGTCGGGAGAGTCAACAGGGTACCAAGGGTGGAGCTCAGGGAGGCAGGTCAAGTGGTAGACCGGGTGCACCAAGTAGAGGTGCTCAGGGCCATTTCTACGCAGCCCCGACAAGGGCGGCTGCTGAGGCATCTAACGATGTCATCTCAGGTACGCTTTTCTTATGCTATCAGCCTGCTACGGTATTATTTGATCCAAGGTCCACATTCTCGTATGTATCTATTTATTTTGCTCCCTGATTGGGTATGAGGTCTGAGTCTTTGCCAGAGCCGGTTCATGTTTCGACCCCGGTAGGTGAGTTCTTAGTAGTGGATCAAGTATTGCGATCTTACTTAGTGACTATCTAGGGTTGTGATACTAGAGCTAATCTTATTATGCTAGATATGATTGATTTTGATGTGATTTTGGGCATGGACTGGTTATCCCCATATCATGTGGTCTTGGATTGCTATGCCAAGATTGTTACCTTATCCATGCCTGGTGTTCCCCCGGTATTGTGGAAGGCTGCTTATAGTCACACACCGACGGGGATAATCTCTTTTATTCGAGCTAGGTGGTTGGTTGCTTCTGGGTGTTTAGCATATTTGGCCCACATCAGGGATGTGAGTAGGGAGGGCCCTTCAGTTGACTCAGTTCCTGTGGTTAGAGAGTATGCAGATGTGTTCCCTACAGATCTACCTGGCCTACCCCCAGAGCGTGACATTGATTTTGCTATAGATTTGGAGCCTGGCACCCGTCCTATTTCTATTCCGCCTTATCGGATGGCTCCTGCAGAGCTCACAGAGCTCAGTGTTCAGTTAAAGGACCTCTTAGAAAAGGGGTTCATTCGTCCGAGTGTGTCGCCTTGGGGTGCTCCTGTTCTGTTTGTGAAAAATAAGGATGGGACTTTGAGGATGTGCATTGACTACAGGCAACTGAACAAGGTTACGCTGAAGAACTGTTACCCTATGCCTCGAATAGATGATTTGTTTGATCATCTTCAGGGTGCCACCATATTTTCTAAGATTGATTTGAGGTCCGGGTACCATCAACTGAGGATTAGAGCAGCAGACATCCCTAAGACTGCATATAGGACTCGTTACGGCCATTATGAGTTTCTTGTGATGTCTTTTGGGTTGACTAATGCCCCAGCCACCTTTATGGACTTGATGGCACGTGTGTTCAGGCCATACCTTGATTCATTTGTTATCATTTTCATTGATGACATATTGGTATACTCGCGGAGCTGGAGTGAGCATGAGCAGCATTTGAGGATAGTGCTCCAGACTTTGAGAGATCAGCAGCTTTATGCCAAGTTCTCAAAGTGCGAGTTTTGGCTTGCATCTGTAGCATTCTTGGGGCACGTGGTGTCTAAGGAGGGTATTAGGGTAGATCCGACGAAGATTGAAGCTATTCGTGATTGGGACAGACCCACTTCTGTTACTGAGGTTCGTAGCTTTGTCGGGTTAGCGAGTTACTACAGGCATTTTGTTGAGGGCTTTTCTACTATTGCAGCTCCTTTGACTCAGTTGAGTCGCCAGGATATTCCCTTTGTGTGGTCGGAGGAGTGTGAGATGAGCTTTCTGAAGCTCAAGGGGTTGCTTACTAGCGCTCCTATATTTACTCTTCCGATTGAGGGCGAGGGTTTCATGATTTATTGTGATGCGTCTGGTGTTGGTGTGGGTTGTGTATTGATGCAGCAGGGCCGGGTAATTGCGTATGCGTCGAGGAAGCTTAAGGTCCATGAGCGCAACTACCCCACCCATGACTTGGAGTTAGCAGCGGTAGTTTTCGCGCTTAAGATTTAGAGGCACTACTTGTATGGAGTTCGATGTGAAATCTATACTGACCACAAGAGTCTTCAGTACATCATGATCCAGAGGGACCTTAATTCGAGGCAGCGTCGTTGGATTGAGCTCCTGAAGGATTATGATCTCTCCATTCTCTATCATCCGGGCAAGGCGAACGTGGTAGCAGACGCCTTGAGCCGAAAGGCGGTGAGTATGGGTAGTCTAGCATTCTTATCTGCAGGTGAAAGACCCTTGGCTTTGGACATTCAGTTTTTAGCCAATAGCATGGTTCGATTAGATATCTCAGATTCTAGACGCGTCTTGGCTTATATGGGAGTTCAGTCTTCTTTGTATGATAGGATCCGTGGTTGTCAATTTGAGGATAAGGCCCTGGGGTCCCTTAGAGACCGAGTGTTAGCGGGTAATGGTGATCAGGATACCTTAGATCCTGATGGAGTGTTGAGATTCGCCGGTCACATTTGTGTCCCGAGAGTTAGAGATTTGATACAATTAATACTTTCGGAGGCTCATGAGTCTAGATATTCTATCCATCTGGGTACAGCGAAGATGTATCGTGATTTGAGACAACATTACTGGTGGAGTGGCATGAGACGAGATATTGCTAACTTTGTTTCTCGTTGCTTGTGCTGCCAGCAGGTAAAGGCTGAGCATTTGAGGCCTGGTGGTGAATTTCAGGGATTACCCATTTCGGAGTGGAAGTAGGACCGCATTACTATGGATTTTGTGGCTGGTCTACCGAGGACTTCTAGAGGAGTTGATAGTATTTGGGTCATCGTTGATCGATTGACCAAGTCAGCTCATTTCCTTCCCGTTCAATCTTCATTTAGTGCCGAGAGGTTGGCTCGTATCTACATTCGGGAGGTGGTTCGACTTCATGGGGTGCCAGTTTCTTTTATATCAGATCGGGGTTCTCAGTTCACGTCTAGCTTTTGGAGGACCTTTCAGGATGAGTTGGGCACCCGGGTTGACCTGGGCACAGCTTTCCACCCGCAGACTGATGGCCAGTCAGAGCGCACTATTCAGGTCCTTGAGGACATGCTACGGGCTTGTGTTTTGGAGTTTGGTGGTCAATTGGACCAGTTCTTGCCTTTGGTGGAATTTGCATATAACAATAGCTACCATTCTAGCATTCAGATGGCCCCGTTTGAGGCCTTGTATGGTAGGCGTTGTCGCTCTCCAGTGGGCTGGTTTGAGTCTACAGAGCCTAGGCCGCGAGGTACAGATTTGATTTAGGAGGCTTTGGAGCAGGTGAGAGTGATTCAGGATAGACTCAGGATAGCTCAGAGTAGGCACCAGAGTTATGCGAATCGAAGGCGTCGACCTTAGAGATTCTCTGTTGGTGATCGGGTGTTTCTCCGTGTGTCGCCCATGAAGGGTGTGATGAGATTTGGGAGGCAGGGTAAGCTTAGCCCCAGGTACATTGGGCCTTTTGAGATACTCCGGACAGTTGGGGAGGTTGCTTATGAGTTGGCCCTACCTCCAGAATTTTCAGTCATCCATCCAATTTTCCATGTCTCGATGCTACGCCGATATATTCCTGATGAGTCCTATGTGCTCCAGTATGATGCAATTGAGTTGGATGATCATTTGACATTTGTAGAAGAACCAGTTGCCATCATAGCCAGAGATGTGAGGAAATTGCGCTCGAGAGCCATTCCTATTGTTAAGGTCCGTTGGAGGCATCGTTCAATCGAGAAGGCTACCTGGGAGACCGAGCAGGAGATGCGAGAGCAGTTTCCCGGCTTGTTTGAGCCTTCAGGTACTTCTTAACCCTTACTTTCGCGGACGAAAGTTCTTTTTAGTAGTGGATATTGTAATGACCCTACTTTTCATTTTTAGTGTGTTATCCTCTGTACATCGTTTACAGCGTTCCTATAGTGATTCCAAGTCATTTATGACTTGCTGGGACTGACAGATCGGTCACCTGGTCATTCGTTTGGTTATTGTGTGAGCTTTAGTATTTTTTTGGAGCTTATGAACCTTGAAAGATCATTTTCGATCAAAATTTCAAGTCAGAATCCAATTCTGACGATTCCATCAGTTCCGAAAGGGTCATTTTAGTCTAGTAGCATTGTCGACATGACTCCCAAAGTTATTAGTGTGAGTTGGTGTGATTAGGCGTTTTAACTTTAAGTTTAAACGCTAAGTTTGACTTTAGTCAACATTCTGAGTAAACGCGCTCGGATAAGAATTTCGTCAGCGCGGTTAGCTCCGGAATGTCGAGTTTGGTCTAGTTTGACCCTTCTTTCAGGTTTTGAGGTTTTTGATATTTTTCCGAGCCCTTTTGTGATTTTTGACTTAAAATGACCAATGGAAATGGGACCCACATTTTATCGAGATGACCTCTGATGAAAATTTCGACTGCGCCTTTGAGTCCGGAATGTCGACTTTGGTAGGGTAGCATATCTATTTTATTTTTATCAGGTTCCGAACGGATTCCGAGAACCCGTCGGAGACTTTAAAGAAAGTAGGCAAAGCTGAAAGTTGGGTTTAACTGATCACGAAGCCTATAAACCCGTGGAACACCATCCAGACTTAGCTAATCAATGTAAGTCCTTAAAGCTGAATCGAACTCAACTTTGAATCACGGAGCGGAATTCATTGTCACTGACGTAACTCGAGAAGCCGTAACATCGAAGAAATAAGAGTAACTATCGCTAGAGCAAGCTCATCGTCTTTCAAAATACCAAACTATCAGACTCAAGTCTGCTACATCAATCTACAAGAATTTAAGCCGGCCGAGCGACGTTGGGGCTAAACTAAGTCCTACCAACTTTGAATCATGCATTTCTAAGGAAAACCCTAGTCAAACCTAAACTAAGGCCCAACATACTTCTGATAACCAGTATTCAAACATACAAGTAATTCATATAGCAATGAAAGTCAATTAATAACAATAAACATGCTCACAGTTACCCGATAATTCTCAGAAAAAGGTCAAAAATATGATTTTTAACACCTATGTATGATCCAATAACTACCCAACCCAAATTTCAACTAATCAACATGCATTCACATGTTCGAGTTCAATCTAATAAGAGAAATTGTAGCCTACCTGAACGCAGAACACGCGCGCTCCAAAATTCACTTCTCCAGATCTTTTACTTCCTAAAAGGCCTCGAAACGTTGATACACTATCAGAAACAGAGTCACGACGTTATTACGGTCATTAAAACACTAAAATCGCAAGAAACGGAGACGGGTCAATTTCGTGGTCAAAATGGAAAAAGTGGGATCCGCGTTGAGAAATCCAAAATTAACCCCAAATAAAAGTCCTAAATAACTCTCAAAACTTGTATACCATAATGGAACACAATTCAGGACTCAATACAGTCCCAACATGAACATGCAACAAAAAAAACCCAAATTCTAAGCTAAAAATCAGCAACAATGGCAGCAGCTACTTACAAGATTTTACCAAAAGTGAAGGTCCAACAGCCAAAACCAATCACACCACGATGATCCTCACGAAAATCCCACAATTTAGGCTTTTGAATCACTAGATTCGGACCTAAAATGGCCAAGAAATCACCTTCTAAAATTTCCCAAAACTTGTGCTCGAAAATGAGCTATGACAGCAGTTAAAACCCAAAATTTACCTCAAATCGGGTCTCCAAATCAGATTCCAAGCTCACCAATGCGTTGCCCTCGAAAAATCTCACAACTTAGCCTTTTGAATCGCCCAATTTGGAGTTGTATAGCTCAAAATATCGAAATTTCAAAGTAAGACACAAAGGCTGAAAGTTGGGTTTTTATAAGGACGAATCTGGTCGTTAAACCCCAATTTTTGGTCGTTAAAACCCCAATTTCTGGTCGTTATAAGGGCTGCACCAGATTCAGCTTTGCCTACTTTCTTTAAAGTCTTCGATGGGTGCTCGGAATCCGTTCGGAACCTGATAAAAATAAAACAGATATGCTACCCTACCAAAGTAGACATTCCGAACTCAAAGGCGCAGTCGAAATTTTCATCAGAGGTCATCTCGATAAAATGTGGGTCCCACTTCCATTGGCCATTTTAAGTCAAAACCTACAAAAGGGCTCGAAAAAATATCAAAAATCTCAAAACCCGAAAGAAGGGTCAAACTAGACCAAACTCGACATTCCGGAGCTTACCGCGCTGACGGAATTCTCATCCGAGCGTGTTTACTCAGAATGTTGACTAAAGTCAAACTTAACCTTTAAACTTAAAGTTAAAACATCTAATCACACCAACTCACACTGAAAACTTTGGGAGTCATGTCGACAATGCTACTAGACTAAAATGACCCTTCCAGAACTTATGGAATCGTCAGAATTGGATTCTGATGTCATCTTCTTGAACTTTTGATCGAAAATGATCGTTCAAGGTTCAGAAGCTCCAAAAATACTAAAGCTCACACAATAACCAAAAGAATGACCAGGTGACCGATCTGTCAGTCCCAGCAAGTCATAAATGACTTGGAATCGCTATAGGAACGCTCTAAACGATGTACAGAAGATAAAACACTAAAAATGACAAGAAGGGTCATTGCATCCATTGATTGACCTGACGAATGAAGACATTGATATTCTGCTTATACAAATTGCTATAATTCATGATTGTGTGATACTCTGTTTTGAAATTGCACTACATATTCGTATTTTACTTCAGGTTGGAATAAACCAACTGATACTGAACTCTTTACATGTTTGAATTTTCCTTCATCTATAGTCCTAGTAAAGTCTATTTATAGCAAATGGCTTCGCCCGGACTCGAACTGGAGACCTTCAGTGTGTTAGACTGACGTGATAACCAACTACACCACGAAACCTTTGTTACAGATTCTAAGAACATAAACTAAGTTACAGAAATTAATTATGGTATGGCCAAACAAATATGACTCGTTGCATTACTATTATTCGTATGACATATATCAAAATATTAAAAGGGTAATGGAGAAACTGGAGAGATTATGTACTAGAGAGGAGCTCTTTTGTAATATTCATATTATTACTTCAGTTTGGAATAACAGATTGACACTGAATATTTTACATGTATGTCCTTCCCGTAAACGTAACACAAAATTTAAAATTTTAATTTCACAAATTAATTAATTAATATATAATTTTGTGAATTAATATTTTTTTTTAAAAATAATTAGAATGATGAAGCCATTTCAAAATTTATTATATAAATTTATCCCTAGTAAACTTAGAAATTTTTCAGAACGATTTGAAATAGAGCTGAAGAAGCCATTTCAAAACAGAGGTTTCTCAACTAGAATTCAAGAATCGAGAATTACTGTAATTTCAGTTTTAATTTTCACCCATTTTTCGTTTTCTTGGATTCTCAGTGATCACCAAGTCCATCCTTGGTGAGTAGTTTGTTTTTTCCTTCCATTGATTTTTCCGGCTTTTATATTTCTCTTACAATTTCCATTGATCTGCATTTCTCTCATTTTGTTCCTCGATTGAACAAAGCAACGGTATATGATTTGAAAAAGTAAGCTTGTCCCTGCCACAAAATACTCATTTGTATTGACCATATTATTATAAGTCGTCATATACACTCTCAATTTGTAGTTAGAAACTTACAATTTCATACAGAATCTTCCTTCTCTAACATACGTGTGCTGCCCGGGGACTCCAGTCTGGAGAAATAAAGAACAACAAAATATTGTTGTTATATTAGTATCTTACAGTTTTCCACCCGATCATCTTTCTACAGTTGCAACAGTAAGCTTGGGCTACAGTAGTTCCAATTTCTGGCTAAGTGTATACATATCTCAAGTTACGCTGCTCATATATACTAACACCCTATCAAAGAGCCCTATTCCTCCTAATCGAGACTGCAAATTGTACAACAAAAGAAAATAAGCATAATTGCTCTAAATTCATGATACAAAAATTATTATTGAAATCAGTACCAATTTCATGAAATAATTTTTCCAAATTATATTTCAATCGTTACCATCGGACAATAATCGTTGAAGCATGCAACTTCCGTTCTGCACCCATTAGTATGACAGTGGATGCTATAATTTGAAGGGATCACTGTTGAATTCCAGTGAATAGTCTTATCATTGTTGAATGAAGAAGCGTCTAACTCAAAATTTAGAACGAATTTTATGGATATATATTCTAGTTTAATAAGTCAGTAGTATAGCTATATTTTAGGATCCGGATTTGGCTCTAGAGATTAAAATTTTGTTGGACTCTGAAGAACATGTTCAACTCGAATTGAGACTTTACAATATGTGTTCAATCCAAGTAGAATTTCTAGAGACTAAACCCTAAAAGAATAGAATCGCGCCGTCCCCATAACTCTCATAAATTTGTCCCACATATTTAATTATTCTCATTTGTCTAAATCATTAGTAATGTTTCGTTCATTGTTTCTCACCTAATTAAGACTCTAAAAATACTTCTTTTCAATTATTCGTGAGTTGGAATTTTTCTATTTTATATAATTAGGTCAACGTAGATAACTGTAGTACAATAATTTTTTTTATGGCCTTCTTCCTAGTTAGGAAAGGAACAAAATTATTATGTTTGTTATTTTTTTGCTTGAATTATTTGAGGATAAATAATTGACATCTTAATAGATTAATCACTCACATTTCAAATATTGTATTGAATTTATTTATCAACAAACTCTCTAAATAATAAAACTTGTAAGCTAATTTATTTATATAAATTTATTAGTACAAATATAAAATTCAAAATTAAGAAAATAAATAAAATGATTAAAAGAATTTGAGGGGCATATCTGTCTTCACATAAATTAATCTCATGATATTAAATTCTATGTATTACTAATACGACCAGATGAAATGTATGAGTGATACATCCTATAATATTACGTACTAAATTTAATATTGTACACACTGAACGTCCCCGGTTCGAGTCCGGGCGAAGCCATTTTTTTAAAAATAAAAAACTTTTCCTTTATGTGCCAAAACTGCAACTTAGTTAAGAAGTCAGGATCTTGTTGTTGAGACTTTACTAGTGAGAAATAGAGTTGTTGTGGTGAAGGAAAACTCTACTACGAATTCACGCCAAACGGGACTATAGATGAAGGAAAATTCAAACATGTAAAGAGTTCATTATCAGTTGGTTTATTCCAACCTTTTAGGCAGCCATAATCTTCAATCAGCAATTTTGTATCAACAGATTAAAATAAAACTAAGCACCATATGAACGGTTAATATCAAACATGTAAAATGTGCAGTGTCAATTGGTTTGGTCCAACCTGAAGTAATGCTCATATGTAAATGTAATCTTAAAACAGAACATTGCACAATTATGAATTATAGCATTTTGTATAAGCAGAAAATCAGCAATATATCATCAATATTATCTATTCCATCAGCCACTTGATCTATTTCTTCCTTTGTTTCATTGGCGGCCCTCCATCTTGATGATTAGGACCCTGTTCATTACCGCCTCCATCTTGATCAACATTTTGCTCATTAGCACCTAAATGGTGTTCATTAATACCCTGTTGAATGTCCCTTCCATCTGGATCATGATTCTGTTCATCACCGTCTCCATCTTGATCATCATTTTGCTATTTCGTATAGTTTAAGGGTATTTTTTACCCTTTCTATTTAGTCTATGTGGCAGTGAAATCCTATTGGCATGCAATGTGGCATCCACGTGGCATTTAACAACTTTCGTTAATAAGAAAGATACATGACGAGAAGGATAGTTTTAAGCCGAAATAAAGTTTAAGAATATATATGAGTTATTTCAAATAATTTAGGGATATTTTTAAGCCATTTCCATTTGTAAAAAGAAAATTAGAGCGATTATAAAACAGGTGAAGCTATTTCAAAACAGAATTAGTTGAATTCAAGAATCAACAACTGATTTTTCTGTTATAATCGGTTAATCCTAATTTCTCATGCTGATGTTCTGCTTATATAACTCATAATTGATTGTATTACATAATCATTAAGGAAAATAAAAAATCAAAAGAATGGCTTCGCCCGGACTCGAACCGGAGACCTTCAGTGTGTTAGACTGACGTGATAACCAACTACACCACGAAACCTTTGTTGTAGAATTTACTTTATCCTTAATATGACTTAATTTCGACTGTTCATCAATCTTGTGTGAATTTACTGCTTTATGATTTCAAATCAAAGTTTGGATATGTAAATTGAGATTATAATTTCAAGTTTTAAATTCTCTAGCAAGTATGATTTGGGATTTCATTTTTTTTATATTACAATGTAAGCCTATAAGAATATTTTAAAGGGAAATTTTTGCATATATAGTCACTCAAAAATAGTTTAATTACATTTTATAGCTATAGTTTGTTGATTATGGCTCGTAGATACATGTTACAGGGAGGAGAGTAGAGAGCGAGAGAAAGGCAAATTGTATACGTACACCGTTTAGATAACTGTATATATGTAACTGATATACATATGCATTTGCATATCTGGAGAGCGAGATTGAGAGCGGGAGGATAGACAAGCGAAATTGGAAGAGGCGAGCAAGAGAGAGAAATAATTTGTATAATTCGCGGGTACGTTTGTTTAATTTACCCGTGTTTTTGTATAATAGAGTAGTACAAATTCTGAAACTACACAAATATGATAAAACTTGAAATATCATATTAAAACAAACATAAACATATGAACTTTAAATAATTTTTCAATTTATATTATATAAATTACATTTATACAAAATCCAAAAACTATACTTTTATACAAACTTTAAAAAGTTATACAAAAAAGATTGAATGTATTTGGTGATAAATATGAAAAATCAGAGGAAATCATCTTCATATACAAATATAAATGCAAATCAAATGAAGAATTGTTAGTTGCGAATTATACAAATGTGGTTAATCATACAAACTCATCCACGTAATTAATAGTTAATGTTAGTCGTGAGTGATAATTATATTAAATTATAGTTATGATGACTAATTAAATAGTACAAATTTGTTTAACCGCATAATATTTCCTATTTTATAAGTGGAACTTTTTAGGCAAAAGTTAGTTTATGACTTTTTTAAAGTCTTTTCACCTCCTAGATTTATTGCATTCTCTTCTCATTAATTCCCATTTCTACATCAACATTCTCTCTTGTCATTCTGTTTCTACTAAACCTTGCATGTTTATAAGAGAAGGAAAATTTCTTATGGAATGGTAAGTTTCTGATTAAAGTTTGCAAATTGAGACTTGTAAGGGCTAATACAAATGAGTATTTTGTGGCAGGGACAAGCTTAGTATATCGAATGAAGGCGCTAATGCTGATCAAGATTTAGTCGTCAATGCTAATGAACAAGATTTAGGCACTAATAATATGAGATCGTAAGTTTCTAATTACAAATTTGCAAATTTTGGACTTGTAGGCCGTGTTAATTCAAATGAGTATTTTGTGGCAGGGACGAGCTTATTTGCTGGAATGATCTTCATCTTCTCTCTCGAGGCGATACTGAACAGGCTCCTAATGATCAAGATAATGGAGAAAATGCTGATCAAGATGGAGATGCTAATGAACAGCTTCCTAATGATCAAGATTTAGGCGCTAACGAGCAAGATGGAGATGCTAATGAACAGGATTTAGGCGTTAATGAGCAAAATTCTGATGAAGATGGAGATGGTAATGAACAGGTTCCTAATGAAGAAGATTCATGGACGCTACTGATCAAGATAAAGAAAGAAATGATCAAGATGAAGGCTCACTTGATCAAGATGGAGAGACAACTGATCAAGATGCTGGAAGAACTGATGAAGAGGCCGCTACTGATCGAGATTGTACTGCTCGAGACACTACTGATGGTGATGGATACAATTGATGAAGATGGAGAGACAACTGATCAAGATGGAGATGCTAATGAACAAGATTCAGGCGCTAATCCTGAACAAGATGGAGATAGTAATGAACAAGACTTGGGACCGCTGCTGATCGAGGTGAAGAAAAAACTGATCAAGATGAAGGCACAACTGATCAAGACAGAGAGACAAGTGATCAAGATAAAGACAAGTGATGAAGATGGAGACACAACTGATCAAGATGGAGATGCTAATGAACAAACTTTAGGCGGTAATGAGCAAAATCCTGATCAAGATGGATATGGTAATGAACAAGATTCAGAAACGCTAATGATAAAGATGAAGACAGAACTGATCAAGACGAAGGCAGAGCTGATTAAGATGGAGAGACAACTGATGAAGATGAAGGAAGAACTGATCAAGAGGCTAACGGTGGAGGCGGTACTGATCAAGAAGCTACTCATCAAGATGGAGACATAAGTGATCAATCAACTGAATGATGAAATGAAGAGATTGATATTCTGCTTATACAAAATACAATAATTCACAATTGTGTGAAATTCTGTTTTCCATTTCTGTTTTGAGATTGTACTAAGTATGGTGGTATTACTTCAGGTTGGCATAAACCAATTTGAGGGTACCATTCTGTATATGATACTTAGTTTGTTTGTAATTTCTTGATACAAATGTTATGCCGTGTGGTATACCTTAGTTTGGTTTCTTGAATGAGGAAAATTGATCTCCTCATTGGATTCAATGGAACTTACACACAATTTGGTTGCAATTTTGCATACTCTTATTAATAATACTAATGGCGTAACTTATGCATTATCTTACGCAGATTAAAATATGAAATTAGAATTCGTATATCAAGCAATGTGAAGATTCTAGCACATAAAAGTAGGGATAAAATCTGTATACACTCGAACCCCAACAAATTATTATAGTCCCTTCATTCTTAATTATACAATAACAATTATTTCATTATAATTATAAATGTAACATTTCTTTTCATTATCAATCTAAGGGCAACTTTCACATATAACAAACAAAAAATTCATATTTGTATGTTATAGTAAAGTTTGCATAATTGCGCTCCATAGCAAACATAAAATTGTATAATTCGCTATACATATACAATTGTATAATTCGCTGGCCAAAATTGTATAATTCGCTGGACTAAATTGTATAATTCGCTAGCCTATTTCGCCGCAATTGTATAATTCGCTATCCTATTTTACTGCGATTGTATAATGCACAATTGTATAATTCGCTGCCTATTTCGCTGCAATATTTTTATAAAATTTACTTTGCATACAGTTGAATCGAATTAAAATGTATGTATATTGCATAATTATAAGTGTATAGCAAGAAGATATATGTTTTTCTCTCGCTTTATACAAAAACAGAAATACAATATATACACTTCTGTCGTATAAAGCTAGAGAAAAATTGTATTTCACTACAATTGTATAATTCGTTGGCCTTTTTCTCTGCAATATTTGAAGTAAAATGTTTGTAAATTGTATAATTAAGTGTATAACACGAAGATATATATTTTTGCATGTGTATATACAATTTCCTCTCGCTTTATACAAAACAGAAACATAATTATATACTTCTGTGTATAAAGCGAGAGAGGCGAGCGAAATTTCTGGGAGAGAGACGCTGGCAAATTTTAGCTAACATTTACTATGGAGCACAATTAAATCAAACTCTAGCTATTTCATTTATTTTAGGTTATTAATTTGTTATTATATACGATTTTCCCAACTAATCGTAACTTTCATAACAACACTACTCTGACTTCACTACTCATTTTATTTGAGAACCATAAAAAAGTTGCAAAATCAACTGGTACCCACTATCCACTACTTCACAATTCACCATATCAATTACAAAAATTCATGTACTAACACATGCGTAATTTAAAGATGCAGAGGATGTAAGACCAAAAAAAATAATCGACTACTGATATTTCCTTAGTTTGTGGATGAATTTTTGAAAGCCACACTGGAGTGTCATCTAATTTGGATTTCTATGTTTCTTTAGTGTGTGTACTTCTTCTTACTTTAGTTGTTTTTTGATAAATGCATTATTACGGTAAGCTTATATTCTTATTTGGGCTCAAAATTAATCATCTCTACTTTTATTGAAAGTTTGCTAATTATTAATCAAAATTCAAAAGTTATGTTTCTTGCTTAAAAAAAATTAATTTGGAACATCAAAATACCCCCTTCATTTGGTGTTTTCTGGATATATTATTAAAGATTTATTTGTAACTGTTACATCTTTTTACTCATTACATACATGTTACCATAGAATTTAAATAATTTTTATATATTTATGAAAATGAAAATTCACATGGAACACACGTGTAAAACATATACCAAAAACTACACAAATAATTTATTTATTTTTTAACCATTGAAATTCACACAACAATAGCATTATCAAGATACAAAGGGGGCAAAATTGGTATTTTATTCTCTAAACAATCTTTAAGTCTGTGCATATGTGTAATAATGCAAAAATAAAATGTCATCATGACTTATTCTTCTTAAGGAGCAAAACAAAAAAAATAATAGTTTTTATTTTGTTTTTCTTCGTAATAAAATGTAAAATTTGTTCAATGCGAAGCAATTTCAAATTTCCCTCCTTTTTGAATTAACGGTACATTAGAATCAAGAAGTGACCTATATATATATATATCAACACTCTCTTCTCATTCCCTTTCAATATTCGTCTCCAATTCAATTTTGTTGTGGAAGAATGTCTTGCGTGCTTTGCCGTTTCTGCGGATCTCGAGTTGCATTCATGGAGGATTACATAAGTATTGTATGGATTCTCACTCTTTCTCTTCATCTTGTTGAATTATTGATGGATTTCAATATTTTAGATTCAATGCTTAATCATGAAATTGAGTACTCTGTTATAATTCTTTACTAAGCACAGAACGAAATTAAGCATGGAATCAAGTTCATTTTGCGGACATTGCCAGGAGGGATCTTTAAGAGGGTGTAAGTCTCATGATTTCATGCAATTTGATATTACATATATATTACAATTTGATATCATATATATATGTGTGCAGGTTTAATGTTCTTTTACTAGACAAAGTAAATTACAATGGAATTATCAAAGTTCAATCACTATTTGGAACTACTGTAGCCAGTGTTAACTGTGGCCAATGTAGAACGAATCTCGGGTGGAAATTTGTAAGATACTAATTTTTGAAGAACATTTTGTTTTCATGAACAAGAAAATCTTGTTGTTTTTTTTATTTAAAAAAAAAATTACTTTTTCTCCAGGTTGCAGGCACCCAACAGAACATGTTTGTTATGGAAGGAATATTCCTTATGAAATTGTAAGTTTCTAATTACAAATATGCAAATTTGAGAAGCGGTATGATTTGATACAAATGAGTATTTTGTGGCAGGGATAAGCTTAGGTTATGTAATGTGGAAAATGCTGATCAAGATGGAGATGCTAATGAACAGGCTCCTAATGATCAAGGTGGAGATGCTAATGAAGCGGTTCCTAAGATAGAACTGATGGAGATGCTAATGAACAGGCTCCTAATGATCAAGATGGAGATGCTAATGAACAAGATTTAGGGGCTAATGAGGAAAATGGTCATCAAGATGGAGATGCTAATGAAGCGGTTTCTAAGACAGAACTGATGGAGATGAAAATAGAATTGTTCAAAATGGAGATAGAACTGATTAACATGGAGAGACAACTGATCAAGATGGGGACACTACTGTTCAAGATGGAGACAACTGATCAAGGTGGAGACGCTACTGATGATCAAGATGAAGACATAACTGATGATCAAGATGAAGACATAACTGATGATCAAGATGAAGAGACAACTGATGAAGATGGAGAGACAACTGATGAAGATGGAGATGCTCCATTGACCTGATGAATGAAGACATTGATATTCTGCTTGTACAAATTGCTATAATTCATGCTTGTGTGATACTCTGTTTTGAGATTGCACTACATATTCGTATTTTACTTCAGGTTGGAATAAACCCAACTGATACTGAACTCTTTACTTGAATTTTCCTTCATCTATAGTCCTAGTAAAGTCTATTTAGATCCTGACTTCTTCTTAACTAAGTTGCAGTTTTGGCATATATAGGAAAACTTTCAAAAATATAAAAATTAGCAAATGGCTTCGCCCGGACTCGAACCGGAGACCTTCAGTGTGTTAGACTGACGTGATAACCAACTACACCACGAAACCTTTGTTGTAAACTCGTACATTAATATTATTTGTATAACCATATCAAAATATTAAAGGGATAATGGAAAAACTAGAGAGATTATGTACTAGAGAGGAGCCTTTTTCGTAATATTCATATTATTACTTCAGTTTGGAATAACCGATTGACACTGAATATTTTACATGTATGTCCTTCCCGTAAACATACCACAAAATTTAAAATTTTAATTTCACAAATTAATTAATAATTAATCAATATATAATTTTGTGAGTTAATATTTTTTTTTAAAAAATAATTAAAATGATGAAGCCATTTCAAAATTTATTATATAAATTTATCCCTAGTAAACGATAGAAAAATTTCGGAACCATTTGAAACAGAGCTGAAGAAGCCATTTCAAAACAGAGCTCTTCTCAAGTAGAATTCAAGAATCAAGAATTAATATAATTTCAGTTTTAATTTTCACCCATTTTTCGTTTTCTTGGATTCTCAGTGATCACCAACAGATGAAGGAAAATTCAAACATGTAAAGAGTTCATTATCAGTTGGTTTATTCCAACCTTTTAGGCAGCCATAATCTTCAATCAGCAATTTTGTATCAACAGATTAAAATAAAACTAAGCACCATATGAACGGTTAATATCAAACATGTAAAATGTGCAGTGTCAATTGGTTTGGTCCAACCTGAAGTAATGCTCATATGTAAATGTAATCTTAAAACAGAACATTGCACAATTATGAATTATAGCATTTTGTATAAGCAGAAAATCAGCAATATATCATCAATATTATCTATTCCATCAGCCACTTGATCTATTTCTTCCTTTGTTTCATTGGCGGCCCTCCATCTTGATGATTAGGACCCTGTTCATTACCGCCTCCATCTTGATCAACATTTTGCTCATTAGCACCTAAATGGTGTTCATTAATACCCTGTTGAATGTCCCTTCCATCTGGATCATGATTCTGTTCATCACCGTCTCCATCTTGATCATCATTTTGCTCATTATCATCTAAATCTTGTTCATTAGGAACCTCTTGATCACCACCTCCATCTTGATCATCATTTTGCTCATTATCATCTAAATCTTGTTCAGTAGGAACCTCTTGATCACCGCCTCCATCTTGATCAACACTTTGCTCATTAGCACCTAAATCTTGTTCAGTAGGAACCTCTTGATCACCGCCTCCATCTTGATCAACACTTTGCTCATTAGCACCTAAATCTTGCCCAATAGGAACCTGTTGAGCACCGCCTCTATCTTGATAATCTTGTTCATTAGGAACCTGTGGATCGTCGCCTCCATCTTGATCAGCAGTTTGCTCATTAGTGCCTAAATCTTGTTCATTAGGAACCTGTTGATCACCGCCTCTATCTTGATCAACATTTTGCTCATTAGTGCTTAAATCTTGTTCATGAGGAACCTGTTGATCACCGTCTCCATCTTGATATTCTTGTTCAATAGGAACCTGTTGATTACCGCCTACATCTTGATCAACATTTTGCTCTTCAAAATTAAGCATGTCACTGCGACAATATACTCATTTGTATCAACCCTTACAAGTCATACCCCTTATGTGTACACTCTCAATTTGCATATTGTAATTAGAAACTTACAATCTCAAATGGAATGTTCCTTCCATAACATACAAGCTCTGTTGGATGACTTGAATCTGGAGAAACAAAAACTTGAGTATTCAGAAAAAATTCTTCATGTTCATGAAAACAAAATGCTCTTTAATATTAGTATCTTACATATTTCCACCCGAGCATCCTTCCACATTGGACACAGTAAGTATTGGCTACGGTATTTGCATCTTGTCGGTGATGATAATTCAGGTCGATTGATACTTCAACATTAAACCTGCATATATAAAGGTTTGTAACATATAAAGGTTTGTAATATCAAATTGCATGAAATCATGAGACTTACACCCTATCAAAGACCCCTACTTCCCACATCTGCAAAATGTACATAATAAGTTGATTATGTGCTTTGTCAAGAAATATAACAGAGTGCTGATTAATTTAAGCATTGAATCTAAAATATTGAAATCACAAAGAATAATTCCATACAGTAAAATAGAGATCCTCAATGAATGCAACTCGAGTTCTGCACCCACCGCAATAGATGGAATCACAATCATCTGGGATTTCCTCCATTCTTCCACTACAAAATTGAGTTGAAGAAAAATATTGATATTGAATAGAAAGGGAATGACAAGAGAATGCTGATATATATATATATATATATATATATATAGAAGGGCCACTTCTTGATTAACCGTTAATTCAGAAAGGAGTATTACCAAAAAAAAGAGGGAAATTTGAACCCAAATTAAACAATTTATTTTATTTTTCCCATTAAGAAAATTCTTCAATTTACCCTCCAATTAATACATATTTAAATTTTACTGTTGCATTTCGTTTTCTTCTTCTTTTCCTTTACTTGCGAGAAATGCAGTTGTGTTTCAGTTTTGCGGAAGTGTATTTCAATCTCAAAAATTAGAGGTGACAAAATTAATCGATTAAAAATGACCCGCCCATTTATTAACTCAGCCCATAAAAATTGAGTTAATATGTAGCTCTATTTATTAGTGAATTCTGGCTGGCATATCTCATTGCAGAATAACCATATCGTTTTACATTGTGATAAAGGAATAAACAGAGAACATGTTGGAACGTATGCACCCACCAATCAGTAAAGGACCAGGTTCCTTGACTCAGTAAGAACAGTAACTAAAAATTGCATTCATCTGTTTCGATGGGATCAGGTCCTCAGCACTGTTATAATAACATATAGTAAAATAAGTTCTGAAAGTAAAGGTTGAACAAATAACTTTACGTGGAAACCTCCTTGCTCAATGAAGGAAAATCACGACATGTTCTCAATAGGACTTTTCAAACCGCTTTCACTAATCTTCAAGAAGCAAAAGTAAAAAACAATTACAACACGAGATTAGTCTGCTAATCTCCACTAAGCAATGTCACCTATTACTTAGACGAGCCAGAGCAGATACAACCTACAAGTCCAAAATTTGAAAATTTGTAATTAGATACTCATTTGAATTAACACGGCCTACAAGTCCAAAATTTGCAAATTTGTAATTAGAAACGTACAATCTCATATTATTAGTGCCTAAATCTTGTTCATTAGCATTGACGACTAAATCTTGATCAGCATTAATAAACTATAGCTATAAAATGTAATTAAATTATTTTTGAGTGACTATATATGCAAAAGTTCTCCTATAAAATATACTTATGGGCTTACATTGTAAAAAAAATGAAATCCCAAATCATAATTTTTAGAGAATTTAAAACTTGAAATTATAATCTCAACTTACCATATCCAAACTTTGATTTGAAATGATGAAACAGTAAATTCACACAAGATTGAGGGGGAGATGAACAGGCAAAATTAAGTGATATAACAAAAGTAATTTCTAAAACATAGGTTTCGTGGTGTAGTTGGTTATCACGTCAGTCTAACACACTGAAGGTCTCCGGTTCGAGTCCGGGCGAAGCCATTCTTTTGATTTTTTATTTTCCTTAATGATTATGTAATACACAATCACAAAACAGAGTATCACACAATTATGGGTTCTTTCCTTGAGCAGGTCCTTGTGTTAATGAGATCAGCTTAAAATAACACTTGTCCATTTCCACAAATGTGATTGCTTCGTCCACAATATATAATGCACTGGCACATTAGTTAGATATACTAGTAGAGAGCATTTACTACTAAAACAAAATCTAAAGGAAATAAGTAATCCATTAGTAACTTTTAACCAGTCGATTATTTTCAAATGCTTGTATCAAGAAATGAAAAACTGAGCACCATATACCTGAGCTCAAACATGTAAAAAGTTCAGTGTCAATTGGTTTGTTTATTCCAACCTGAAGTAAAATACGAATATGTAGTGCAATCTCAAAACAGAATATATCACACAATTATGAATTATAGCACATTTCATTTACGACAGTGGAAGTAATCAGAAGACATGTTTCACCTATTACAGAAAAAAAAAGAACAAAATGTAAGAGAAATATAAAAGCTGGAAAAATAAGTGGAAAGAAGAGACTAACTTCTCACCAGGGAGAAAAGATGAATAAAACAAAAAATTACAACAGAAAAATCAGTTATTAATTCTTGAATACTACTAATTGAGAAGAGCTCTGTTTTATTATAACAGAAAAATCACTTCTTAATTCTTGAGAATAGCTCACCAGCTCTGTTCTGAAAATTTCTTGTGTGAATTTCAGTTAGTTAATTAAGAAGTCAGGATCTCTTCAGAGGCTGACATCTTCAGAAATAGAGTTGAAGTAATAATAGGTAGTGCAATCTCAAAACAAAAATGGAAAACAGAATATTTGGATTATAACATTTTGTATATCAGCATTCACAAACTTTTAAAAAACAGACTTTAATTATTTATTTATTTTTCAAAGAAAATTCTCATTAGCTTTCGAAGAAATGAGTCAATTTAGAAAATATTTTATCCAATCAAATATGAGAAAATTAAAAAATATTTTTATTTCTAACACACTCTAAGATTTATTTTAGAATTTAAAGTTTATGATTTATTATTTATATTTAATTAAAATTTGTTAGTTTTATATGTTTCTAGTCCAAGTTTACTTTTAGTTATATTGAAAAAACACTTGATTCTTGGATGTTAGTTGACAAGAGCTCTCTTTCGACTCAAATTCTATATTTTTGAGTTAGAAAAAATTATTTAATATATATAAATAATTCGTTGAGGATTAAGTAAACAACGGAGTGAGTGAGAGAAGTTTCCATGTAAGTTTAGGGATATTAATATCAAGTCGGGGGGCGGGGGCCAATTAGACACTTCTGGAAATATTCTAATACCGTTCTATTTTATATATATATTTTTTCTCTTTTGCACATGGAATTGATATAATTTTATTTTTTATTCTTATTTAATGTTTACTTAAAGTAACTTTGTAATAAATGATGAATACATTTTCAAAATTAATTAACTACTCTATAAATGATATAATAGACAAAATATGATAATTTATATACATTAATTTTATAAAATAACAAATATTATGATCCAATAATTTATAAAAAGAAATGACACATAAAATGAAATCGATAAAGTACTTTAGAGACTCTGTGTAAAGGGAAGTTATTAGTCTATACTACTCCCTTGTTTTCTACTTAATTTAGTTAAGATGTGTTTCTGAGATTGTGATTCTTGTCCGGGGTACTTGTGTCTTTTCTCCCTTTTTTTAGTTTATGTCTTTAAAGAAATTAAATAAGTTTGAAATTGTATTCTTATTTAATGTTTTTTGAAAGTCAAGTTTTCAATAATAAATCTGAATTAAATTATGGACATGAATAAATTAAAGACTAATTAGTTTTTCCAATGTTGTTTGAATTCATACTTTTTAGGTTAATAACTTTCGAGAATAAAATAGAAAGAATAGTATTAAAAAACATCTATTTTCAATAAGTACAACGTGTAAATAAAAACGAAGAGAGTAGTATATATTGTTTTTATTATCCTTGAAGTTTCTTTATTGACATTTGAAGTCGTGAGAGCCTAGGCAGACAATATTACTAGTAGGCTGAGTCGTTACATAATATCTGTGAAGGTCATTATTGACATTTGACGAGTCAGATCAGTACAAGTATTACAAGGGATCTCCTACTATATATATAAAACCAGAGAACGACTGGCAGACTATTATATTGTCATGATGACGATAAAGAGGAGAAGAGAAGAAGAAATAGTAACAGTGGAGACATTCGCCATGGCTAATTGTGTTAGTATTTTAGAGAAGAATAGTTCACTATCACGTCGATTTTTCGAGTGCAAAACTTGTAAGAAGCAGTTCGAATCGTTTCAAGCTTTAGGCGGACACAGAGCAAGTCATAAGAAACCGAAACTACTGGTATTACCTTCAGATTCGATTAAATCTAATGCGAAGAAACATGAATGCTCTTATTGTGGTGAGGAATTTGTACTTGGACAAGCTTTGGGTGGGCATATGAGAAAGCATCGTGATAAAACAAAGGAGAAAAATACTTACAAATCTCCTGAAAAGAAATTTTGCTTAGATTTGAATTTGACACCCTATGAGAATGATCAGTTGACGTTGGGGCCTGTACAGTAGTTCATTCTTTATTGTAGAAAAGTAGATATTAATTAATTGTTTCTTTATTCCTTTTCTTGGTCTGTATATGAAAACAGATACAAATTTTGTTTTGTTCCATTATATATATTACTTCCTTCCTCAATAAGCTGCCTGCGCTTTTGCAAAATAACTTTATATGCTTATAATGGATTTAATTCAAAAGTAGATACGTGCATATAATACCTTGATGTAAAGCACAAAATTCAGATTAATCGAGTTCTAAAATGGATAATGAAAACATCTTTGACCGCAGAATTCAGATTAATCAGATCGTCAATTTAATGGTTCACTCTTTATGCCATATTCGTGTCGACTTTTTCAAAAATAATTGTCCAGGCTGAACAACGTAACATAGGATTAAAGAGTCCTTTTTCCGGCAGATGACAAGTCTATTTAGGTTTTTGCTTATTAAGTATTTAAGGAAAATACTGAGCAATTATTAATGCCCTTCTTTTAACTTATGGTATTCAATAGTAATAATAATTAATACTCTCTCTATTTCACAAAGAATGTTCCTATTTTCATTTTAGTCTGACTCAAAAAGAATGATTTTATTTCTTTTTTAATAAAATTTTAATTTTTCACATAGCATAAACCATAAAATTTAAAAGATATTTTATATATTTAATATAAAAGTATTATATATTTACTATATTAAGTATAAAATTATTTAACATCCAAAAGATTATAGTAGTATATAGTGTGTGAAAAATGAATCTTCGAACACATCTTAAGAACACGGTTTATAAGGTGGCTAGTTTGTATTCACATGCACGTAAGCAGTTGAGTCATTATTTCTTAAGTATGAAGGAAACTCTATGTATAATAGTGTATTTAAATGGATAAGCGTGTCACGTATTGATTCATATATAGTTTTAGAGTAGAAAATGACTTATTAGAGTTTGTCAGACAACTAATTTGGTTTGAAATTTGTAATTCATTCCATATTACAAGTTGGAAAAGATATTCCCAACCCTACGTACCTTGAAAAATACTTCGTATTGATGTGTTTATATAAAATATTATTAGGAAATATTATTGTTATTTTTATTTTAGGTTAAAATTAATTATTCATAAATATCTTTTTAATTTATTCAAATACTTGAAAAAATGTATTAAAATAATTTTAGTTTCAAAACGCTTAAAATGATCCAATTAAAAGGCGCTCTAGAATTTTTTTTCAAATTTATAACTTGTTTTAGTTTTAAATCAAGTGCTTAAAAGCACTTTGAAAATTTATTCAAATAATATGATAATGTTTTAGAACTGTTTTTACTTAAAACTCTTAAAATAAGTCCATGCATAAATACTAGCACTAGCATATTCAGCATTATTATTAATAATTTATCATTGCCTCATTTCATGATCGTATTTTGTGATTTGTTAAGTTGACGTGATGTTTTACGAGAGACATAATTTAGTGCTTTATCGAAAAATTAAAAGACAGAGAAGATATATGTTATATTATACTTCTTCCGTCTATAATTAATTGTCATAATTTTTATTTTTAAAGTAAAAAAATAATTAATATTTTCAGATATATTTTTATCGTGTTAATATACAAAAAGTTACAATTTTAATATTTTTATAATTTTTTTAAATATTTAATTTTTTTATTTAAAATATTAAATTAATATAATTTAATTTAAATTTTAAAAATTATTTAAATTAACTTTCAAGAAATATTACAAATAAAGGTGGCAGAGGGAGTACTTTGGATACTATATAGTATACTAAAGAGAGTAGAGACCAACTTCAATACAAATTTCATTGATGGTCCCAACTCCCTAGTAACTTGGCTGCCAAGTTACTGCATCCTTCACCTCCCAGTAAACTCCAATAAGGTCTTCTCCTTTAATTTTTCAAAAAAAAAAAACTATAATTTAAAAAATTATATCCTAAATTGCGTGAGACTTGTCGTGAAATTCAAAAAAATAATGATGTTTAAATTTTATAATCCTAAATAAAAGTTATATCAAAAGTATTAAAATATTTTTTTAAAAAATATATTATAAGAAAAGCTAAAATTAAAATATTATTAAAATATAAAAAGTTATTCTTTTTTAACTAACTAAAAAAAGCAGCCCATTTTTTTAAAACAAAAAATTTCCCTAGTTAAATCTTTTGTAGTAACCATCGGAGGGAGAGAGACACTAAAAGACAATTATTCAACTATTATATGAACTAACTTCCATTAGTCTCTAAATTTTGATACAGTCATGTAGTAACTTTTTATGTTTTTAAGTTTATAGATTCATATTTCTATTTTATTTTACTTTTTTTTTTTTGTGATTTAAGATAAGAATTTTTTGCACACAGATTATTACTTTCTTCGTCTAGTATTGTTTGTCAAAGTTTCTATTTTTCGAGTGAAAGTATAAAAATTTTGACTAATATTTTAACATATTTTTCATCATATTAATATACAAAAAAGATTGCAATTTATAATACTTTCATATAGTTTTAAAATATATTTTTTTAATTATCAAATTAATATAATCTAATTTAATTTTAAAAATTAATTAAATTTACCTTGGAAAAATGCAACATAACAAATAAGTATGTTACATGTATTTGATCATGTCAAACCACGAATAATTCTGGAAACTTCGTGGAAGGTCACTTTATGGACTCTTCCTTGTGCTTTAAACTTACATGAAAATTACCTAAAAAACACATTCATATTCGATGATTTCAGAAAACGCGTCGACATTACTGTTACCGAAAATCTCCATACACTACTAGTAGCTTTTGCGTCATTCATCATTATTAATAGAACGCGCAAATTGTAACTATAAAATATGTGAAGCAGTTGTAAGCCCAACCAAGTAGATCAGTATTCAAACTCAGTATACGATTATCGAAAGCATCTTATTTGTATCAACTCTTCATAATGATAAAAATTAGAGAAGACAAGGGTGAAGTGGAAGCACAAGCAATGGCTAACTGCTTAATGCTTTTATCATCCATAGATCGAGATCGTCGTAATTCATTTGAATGTAAAACCTGCAAAAGACGCTTCTCATCTTTCCAAGCGCTTGGTGGCCATCGAACGAGTCATAAATCAACGATTGATATCGGAAAATTTCTTCACGGTAAAATATCCAAAAAACGCAAGGTACATGAATGTTTAATTTGTGGAATGGAGTTTTCTATGGGTCAGGCTTTAGGTGGACATATGAGGCGTCACCGTGCCCCAGTAAATGAAATTGAACATTCGGCCAAAAGGATACCAGTTTTGAAGAAATCGAATAGCAACGAGAGAATATTTTGCGTGGATCTTAATTTAACTCCTGATGAGAATGATGACTTTCACTTTTGGCCTATGCCACCTGTACCTCCATTCTTATCCTCTTAGGACTTGGCTAGAACTATAAATATCATTCATTTTAATTCTTGTGGGTAGATTCACAAATTTTGTTATCTATTTACCTTAATTGATCGGATTTCTTTATTGATGAGTATATTTATTCACAATAAATTTTATTACATGCATGTTCGATACGTTAAAGATTATTTTGTGGTAATATATAGAGATCTTAAATTTAATAGACATATTTATATTCATAAGAGAATATAATTATTATGAAAAGTCATATGCATTAAGAACATTACGAAAAATCATGAGAGAATATTATTATTATAAAAAATTATCTCTTAAATTTTATAAATATAACGACTAATATCTCGATGGGAACATGAATACGGACCCACGCCATCTTTTTCTTTACTTCATATGTTTTTTTAAAACATGACGTATTCATTATTACTATTATGCACGCAAATATAATAACATTTGCTACATGATATTTTATACACAGAACAATGTATTTCACTTTTATTATCATCAAACAGTATATCTATTTAATTAAAATAAAAAATGCTGCTACATTTTTATTTATTTTTTTTATAATAAAGCACAATCTCTTCAGTTTTCCAAAAATTATGGTAGTTGTACGAGATAGTGGTAGGCTCCATTCCATGGGATCATCACTAATTGACCCGGAAAGCCCAAAATATCAGGAGATCAAAAGCTATGAACGGTTAAGATTAATCAGATCGAACACACGTGTACGGTTAAAGAAGCGGTAACTGTATAATCTGATAGTGCAGGTCCATTCACAATTCTATGGTCTCAGTCGAGAGCCGATCGTCTGCTCCTCACTCACCATAACAACTACTCTGCCCGTCCCCCCCAAAAAAGAGAGTGAAATATCTACTTCAAAACCAGAAAATCGCCGCCGATGATGCCGCCGGGAAGTTTACTTGGCCGTTCCTAGTTTCTTTTCCATGTAAAAAGGTATGATCGTCTCTCTTCTAATTCGTAATTACGCTTTAGGGCTTGTTAATTTTTGAGATGTTGATGACTTTTCCATTCTATTTTTGCTGAATTTGAACTTAGGTGATTGTTTTATGAGCATTTGTGGCTGTCAGGTTCGTTGAAGTAAGAGCTGTAAGATGGTGAGTGTTTCTAGTGTTCATTAGGAGCTCCATACTGGATACTCTGTTTGATTTTGTTGTGCTGAGTTTATGGGAATTTCTAGTGATATTTAATTAGATAGAAAGAAATAGCTGTTAGTTTCCCATTGCTAGTTGTATTGAATTGGACCTTTCTTTTGTCTTTAAGCTTCCATTTGGCAGCTCGACGGATATTTAGATGTGAAACTTATAATTTTGCTCTGTGACTTTCGTGGTACTTTACTCAAAGTAAATTATACACTCCGTGACAAAAATGAATGGTGGTTTTGTGGTGCAACGGTTAACCATCCTGATTTTCAGTATAAATTCATATCAAATTCTTATTTCTTACAAAAAGATTGTCCTTTACTCTTGGTTCTAAATTTTCACATTTCATACCACACGATTAAAGGACATTTTGGTACATTCTACGTATCTTTAGTTTAATATCACGAGATTCAAAAGTTTTATTTACTTTCTTAAACTTCATGTCAAGTTACCTAGTCAAACAAATTGAAACGGAGTAAGTAAAGCTCACATATTTACAAAGAAGATAGTACTCTTAAGGAAATTGTAAGATTGTCATCCTTTTTGAGATAGGAGTATTAATTCTCTATGATATTTCAGATGTCCAGTCAGTGGATCGATCCAATTTCTTTCTCAGTGAGTGGGATTAACATACTCAATCCAAATTCTGTCTCAATGAGTGCAATTAGCTTAACCAATCCAAATTCTGCCTCAATGATTTGGATTAGTTACCCTTAAGAAATTTCGTTTTTTGGTTTTGCATTATTCTTGTACTCAGTGGTGAAATGCGTAGTTTTGCCATTTTCTGCACAGCTCTAGTCCATTTCTTATAGCTCAAATGTCAGTAGGGATCAGTATCAGACCCTGCCTCGATTCAGAAAGAAAAAAAGAATGAGAAAAATGTGATCTTGGTGAAATGTTCCATCTGATGTGTCCATACTTGGTATGTGCATCAAATATCAGATACCTATTCCTTGTGTGGGTATTGCTAAGAGATTCTTGGCAGACCATCATGCTTTTCCCCACTGCACCCCCCTTCTGCACTCGTTTTGTTTCATTTTTCACCTGCTTCATTGTAATTCGCGAACCCTGCCCACCATTCTTGTTTCATTGTAATTCCCAAACCCTGCCCATTGTTCCTGTTTCTGGTCAGAGATTTATACTGTGATGAATCGACTTTGTCTAGTTCATTCATATCAGATCTTTTCCAGTCTTTCCATGACAAGGACTTTTGGATACCAAAATGTGGTGGACATCTATCTGATGGAGAAGCAGTTTTTGATAGCTCATCAAGAATCGACGTGAAACGTGCTCACCAATTGTTCTCCAGTTCTGCTGAGACAGAGTTATTTCCTAACAAGAAACAAGCTGTCCACACTTTACTAGGCAAATCAACTTCGGAAATTGAAGTGACAAATTCTACATGTTGGGAGGCTGCTTCTGATCTTCCGTCAGGGGCAAACCAATTCATTGATAGATTGTTTCGAGTTGATACCACCAGACAAGTCGACTTGACCGAGAGAAGCACAGGGACCTCCACCATAAGGAAAAAAGTGATTGAAGACCAAATTGGAGATGATCCATTAGTTGGTTTGTCAATGTCTTACACTATTGAAGAACAACAGATATGCTTAAGCGACAGTAGAATCAGAAATCTTAATGTTAATCAGGTGGAGGATTCAGAAATTGCTTTTCATTCACCGATTGAAAACAACATTAATATGTCTATCAGTCAGGTACATAATAGGGCAAGTGAAACATCCTTTCTATCCATGGGTCAGGCATATGGGAAGGAAGATGAAAGTCAAACCTACAATCCTGGAGATATAAGTAGATCCATCAGATCCAATGTTGAGAAAAGTCACAGCACTACACCAATTGCTGATTCATATACCAGAGGGGATTCCGACACAATATTTGGATTCGAATTGGTGTCTGATATTGATGCTCTGGCAAGGCCAATTAGCGGTTACGATTATTTACATTATCAATCGTCAGTTGACGCATCAGAATCACATTGTGACAAGCAGCTGGATGGATCAAATGGTAGTGCAGTTGATTTCTCCTCTCAGACATCAAAACCTAGGACTGATTCCTTGCCAAAAACCAAATCGGAGTCTAAACCTGCACATAAAGGTGCTCCTAATAGCTTTCCTTCGAATGTTAGAAGTTTGTTAGCAACAGGAATTCTTGACGGTGTTCCTGTAAAATACGTCTTGTCCCGGCAGGTACATTTTACTCTATTTAATTTCATAAATTTTGCTGCCGGCACCTTATCTGCTATCTTCCTGTGTGTTATAGGAGCTTCGTGGTATTATAAAAGGTTCTGGATACCTATGTGGTTGTCAACCATGTAACTATTCAAAGGCAAGTTATTCACTTTGCTTTTTCATTCCTTTTATAATTATATATTTTTCCTGTGTGGTAACTTTGCAATTGTATACACATTTGAAGGTGCTTAATGCCTATGAGTTTGAGCGTCATGCTGGTTGCAAGACAAAGCACCCTAACAATCACATATACTTTGAGAATGGGAAAACCATCTACCAGATAACCCAGGAGCTAAGGAGCACGCCACAAAGTTTGTTGTTCGAAGCAATTCAAACCGTGACTGGTTCCCCCATCAATCAAAAATCTTTCCAGATCTGGAAAGGTAATTATATCCCCAATTGTTCCTAATTGGATCTCTCTCTCCCCCCTCTCTTTAATCTACTATTTGATACATATGATTCGTATTGAACTAATTCTGATGATCAGAATCATTTCAAGCTGCAACTCGAGAGCTCCAGCGAATATATGGGAAGGAAGAATTGAACCTGTAAGTTCAATGTTGATGGATCAATGATAGTATTAAGAATATCCTCTGCCCGTGTAAAATAGAAACAAACAACTTATTTTAGTCAGCCAATTTGATGTAAAATATGTGGATATGCTTCGGCAGTTGTAATTGGACTGTGCAAACGTTTATGAACAAATATGTTCCATATCATATAGCATCGATGTGCCATTTTCTCCTTTGTTGATTGCATCAACAGAATTTGAAGTTCTCTTCAGCCCCATTTTGAGCTAAAGATCTGTCGGAAACAATCTCTCTAGGTTTGTGTATAAGGGTGAGTGTTTCCTTGTATGATTTCCTGTTTCCATTATATAGTTTTCATTCTTAAAGACGAGAGACAGCTTTGGACACACATTCAGTCTTGATTGTTAGTTGAGAGAATCCACACTTTAGGATTGTATTGATAATCTTAATTGTACATCATTGGTGCATTGCTTATTAATACGACAAGAAAACAAATAGAGGCATCCTCATCCTCCACTACAATATGTATGAGAAAATCTGTGAATTTAAAGTGTGAGACAATGTGTTGTCCTAATTAACAACACCACATGCCAATTAAAATAAGACATGGCTTTTCACTCTTCATGGAAAACCAGTAAGTATTACTATTTGTCTTAAAGTGATGAATTGACTACTCGAGTAGACATTATGATCTAACATTTTTTTAACTAAAAATAAATTAAAAGGGAATATTCATGGAAGCCAAATTACGACTAGAAGAGGGATTTGTCTTAATTAATTGGTCATTGGGGAACAAATGTATATTTGTTTTGAATATGAAAAAGAAAAAGTTGAAAAGGTGGAAGCATATGCTTAGAAGATCCTCTCTCCACCAAGTAGCAAATCACTTTTTTAAAAAAAGTTCAAAATAAAAAATTAGGTCTCTGAACTAATTTCCTTTCTCTTTTCTTTAAAATCCTCCCCTCCTCCCACTCTTACTCCTTCATTTTTTCCTCCTTTCCCAGTTCCTACAACAATGGAAAATAAAAAAGATGATGACGACGATGGTGATGGTGATGGTGATGATTGTTCTTCGTGATGACGCATGATCAAGTATCTTTTATTGGGCAACTACTAAACCCTTTGGCAATGCATATAATTATGCAGTTATAAGATATATAGGTACCAGTTATATATCAAGATTCTGAAACATACTTGTTTTTCTCTGCTTTACAATTTTGGTGTTT